ATTCAAAATGAAGAAGTTGGTTAGATTTTCTTGACTTTTCCCTTCCTATTTAAAAATTTAATTTTTTTTATCTTATTTAAATTTATTATTAGACAAAAATTGCAACTTTTAATACATTCAATAAGGTTGGACTCCGGTGAGAAATGATGTTATGATGAGAAACGTAAGAATAGATCTCCATCATTGAATTAATCCTAATTAAATGTCAACACTAATGAGGTGCACCAGATCAATCTCCTTCTAAAGTGCAATTCATAGGTGGACATGAGATGAAAAATGATCAAGAGTTCAGATCTCTTCTCACAATAACTTCATTTCTCACACGATCCTTCACCCATTTAATAATATGTAAAAATGAAACTTAAGCGTTACCAGATAAAACCTACGTAACGTGACAAAATCTAGTAGTAAAATTAGGGGTGTTCGCGGTCCGGTCAAACTGGACTTTAAAAAGGCGTTCTGATCTAACCATTTTAGACAGTTTGAACCTCTTATGGTCTTTAAAAAAACATAACATATATATCCAAAATAAAATTTCTACTTATATAATAATATTAAAGATATAGTATCCCAAATTATAAAAGAAAACATCTATTTATAAGATTAAAAAACATGGAGTAAGTTGAAAAAAAGTTAAATAAGTCCACCACAATTTTGGACAAACCCTGAGCAAGTTGAATGACGATTTTTCAAACCTGACTATTTTTCAAACCAAATTGGACCGCCAAATCGCTCAAACCACCAAAACCGGTTAGGTTTGACTTGATTCGACCGGTTTGAATGGTCCAATGGTTTGAAAACTCCAAAATTTATAAGATCCATGAGAACTTCTACCTTAAGGTTTTGTTTCACATGATTTTTTTTTCGGTCTAAATATAGTATCTAATGTATTGATTTATTTTGGCCGATTGATCTTCCAATATACTAGTTTCAACTACTCTTGTTTTAATATATATTTTTTCATAATGTGTTTCTTTCATATGCATTCATTTCACAATGTGAAATTTTTTTACGTGTATTTTTTGTTTCACTAACACGTAAAAAAATGTTCACATTGTGAACCGAGTACATATGAAACAAACATATTGTGAAACAAATATATGTTAATTAATATTATAATCCTAATCTTAGATGGAAAAAGATCATATAAAATAATACATGATACACAAGTTCTCAAGATTATTACAATTTTATGAGTCTTCAAACGAAGCGCTTTAACAATATAATTTAAATTTTCAATTGATATGGTAACCAATAAAATCTGAAATTTTAATTATTTTATAGACTTGCAAGCCTTGAAACTCTTACGATCCACATAACCATGTGACACATGCTCAAGAAATACATCATGGTCACCATGCATCAGATCCTGACTCACCCCTTGTACTTCAATTCCATGTGTGGAAACGGTGCATAACATCTTATTACAAACACATTCGGCCATGTTAATGTCAATCTGTAAACCTTAAAACTGATCTTTCGAGAATACCTCTTCAACTTTCCCTTCAAACTCGAGCTCCCACATGATAACTGGTAGCTCTTGAGAAACTCTCTTCTACTGTGCCAATGATCTAGGTCCCGACAATGCCTTGATCCGACAGTTGAGACAAGTGGTTCTTGGTCTTCGTATTTTTGTGTATGGTTTTGGAAGGGAAAATGGGGTGTTGGTGAAGTGGTCATGATAATTTGCTAGTTCCACATGTAGGGTTAAATTTTGAGGTGTTTGGTGAGTTGGGTCAAGATGGTGCGAGGGTACATATATATATATATATATATATATATATATATATATATATATATATAGGGATGTGNGAAAATGGGATGTTGGTGAAGTGGTCATGATATTTTGCTAGTTCAAAATGTAGGGTTAAACTTGGAAGTTTTTGGTGAGTTGGGTCATGATATATATAGGGATGTGAAAGTGGTTATGGGTTTGCTATAGCTACCAAAGTTGGTTGAACCCTTTGTGGAAAAACGTGGGTTGGTGGCTTATATTGGTTGCACCTATGGTTCATCTACCATCAAGAAACCCTTCTTTAATTGTGATTTTGTTATGCACTTATGTTTATGTTTATATCTATATTTTCATCATTTATACAAATTATTAACATCATCGATATTAAATCTTACATTAAATTTTAAATTTGATTTAATATGGACACCAAATTTGGAATAACACTATTCATTTATACAAAAAAAATTAAAAAAAAACTTCTATTTTTTGTGTAAAACGCGTTGTTACTCGTTGGAGACGATTTATTTTTTGCACCAAATTTACACTAGTTTTTATAATTATAGGTTTGGTGTTACTTAAATGGTGAGTTTGTTGAGCACGTCTAACTAAATTTAGGTTTAGAACATGCATTATTATATAGGCTAGTTGTGTATCCGTACAATGCGGCGGCTTGCAATATTCGTATAAATATATTTATAAAAAAAAAGCAAAGTATAAACACGTTTTTGTAAAACTACATAGTCGGTTCCATCTTTACGTAGAGTGTGAGAATGGGAAGAAAAAAGTGGTGTTGTAACTACGAAAAACATTTGTACTTGATTATTAATGCTTGTTAGAGTCCATATACACATTGAGGAGCTGTTTGACCGTTGCTGAATGATTTGGTGTAGAATGATTAAGTGGTCAAAATGATTAAGAGGCTCTCATGATATAGTGTAAAATAAAATATTATTGTTGTTTACAATGAAATTAGGGCGCTTAATAATTAAGGGAGACTCATAATACAAAATCATTAAGAGAGTTTTAGAACCATTAAAATGCAGACTTTTTGTTTGCCAAACAAGATTTACCTCTTAACGATTCAAAGACTGTCTCTTAATTGAACTATTAAGAGGTAACAAACAATACCTGATACATAATCTTACAAACCAAAAATGATGTTGAACAAAACTCAAGTAAAGTTGGGTGGCGTCATGGTCGATTCAAATAAATATTTCCACCTTCATGTAATTTTTCAAATGTATTATCTAGTGTAAAACGATGTCTACCAAATGCACATTTAAATAAATAAATAATGAGTAAATTACAAATATCTTTTTGATCAACCAAGACTTTGAGAATGGTTTAGTCGTTGTTAAACTGCTTACCAAGTGACATTACTTTACCATATGAATATGACAAGTACCAAGAATCTTATCTAGTAAGAGCGAAACAATGATCAAAAGTCTTACCCATTAAATGAGGGCGACGACTCTTATCATGGTTAGCGTTTACAGGGGAGATTGTTGCATATGATGTCGTTTTGGTGGACTATACACACGCACAGTTTTTCAATGCAACCCCCACTTTGAACCCCGCAAAGTTTATTAATTGTCGCTAGAGACGATGGTTTCATGTCGCCGGGAAGGAGGGTGGTGTTCATCGAAAGAGAGCGAGGTACTTGATAGTCCTTTTGGGTCGTATATGTATATTATATGTACAATATATACGAAAATCGAAATTTATAACAAACCAGACGGACAAAAAACGTAGCTTACTCTTAATATAATCAAAAAGTAATTAATAATACTATCAATGACAGGTTATAAGTAAATGTATAAATACCAATTATTTATGCTAGAATTGGTTGATCTTTAATCCCACATTCCTCAACAGATTTTTTTTTAGTGAAACATACCAAGATTTGCTAGAATTGATATCACGTGCTGAATTTGAATTAGATATTTGAATCCTTTAGATAACGTACATCACAAATAGGGACCAGATCCATCCTAGCACACAACAAATTACATTGGCGTCTATCTTATTACATATCGTTAATCTCGACAGTTTCATAAAAGGCGTGTCAATTACCGTTTTAATTGGTTTTGGCTGTATTTAGTTTGCTATAGATTGACTTTTACAATTTTAAGATTCTCTATTTATTCTTCTTTTATGGTACAAATTAAGTCGGTCTTCGGATTAAGATTTTGTCTTATTTGATTGTACGACATTTCAAGGCACACTTGCAATATGAACGTTCACTTTTTTAGGGGTGGAGATGTCATCCAAATTTAAAACGTTTTGAAGTAGGGGTGTTCAAAAACCAGTCCAACAAAACCTAACCGGATTGGTGGTTTGGTGGGTTTGCCATTTGGTGTCTAAAACCAAGAAAAACAAAGACTAAAATGTCAATAGTTAAAGAAAAGGAAAACTAAAACAAGAAAATTGCCAGAACCATAGAGACCAAAAGGGCAATTTCCTCCAACGATCACTCCGGTTGAACTATCACTGTTTTGTCTCTCTTTCTTTCATACTTTTCGTCAAAATCGCCGATATCTGCAACAACCAGCCTTCCACTCTTCAAGAACATCATTCTGGATTCTTCAAGTAAGTTTATCATCTTAAGCATTTCGATCTCAAATTTAGGGTTTTGTTTTCATTAAAATGCCCTATCCTTTTCTCCCAACTACAAAAACCCTAAATTTATATTAACTCAGAAGGAAAAGCCCAAGTTCTATGGACTCATATACTCGATATAGCCATCAAAAGATCATAATTTTTACTCTTCTTTCATGGAAGTGCGTGTGTTTTTAATTTTATGGTGATCACAATTTGACAAGAAATCAGAAGAATGAAAGGCTCCCTCAGGCCTCAGATCGATTCTTGGTTATGTTGACTTCATATTTTCTGTTTCCCAATGATTTGTTGTTGATTTGATTTCATAACTTTAATGTTACCTGTTGATTTTATTGTTACTTTGACCTAAATTTTGTTACTAGGTCTCCTAGAGAGAAATGTTGTACACAGGGTGTAGAAGAAGTGGAGACAGTGGTGTCCCTTTTTGTGTTTCTCCTCTTTCATTTTGATATGCTTTTACAGCTTGCTGTCAATACATTATTCTGGTGTGAAGGTTATAAAGGAATTATTCACAGTAGGGTATAATGTTTTGGTACTGACCTAAATGGGGAATCTTCTAGCTTTTGCATTAGGCTTAATTTTCACAATTGAGGATTGAGTAGGGTTATATAATTGTAGTTGACTAACTATTTAACTTTTAACAGCTATGGATAAGTGTTTAGCAAAGAGAAAAGCAATTATGGTTTTGTCGGAGGAGACTATTGTTGATAGTTCTAAACAAAGTCGTATGGAAATCAACTTAGCTGATCTTCCTACAGACCCTGGATTGCGGCTTAGGATTTGGGATTACAACCCTAATATTCGAGATGAAGTTCGAAGAGCTTATCTGTTAAAAGGGCCGTGCCAACCACGTAACCATGAATTTCCTTATACTAACTTTGGGACCAAACCACGAAGATTTAACCCTGCTTGGTTTGATGAATTTTCTACTTGGTTGGAGTATAGTGTGAATCAAAATGCAGCATATTGCTTATGTTGCTATCTTTTTAAACCAAATATAGGAGCACAAGCAGGTGGTGACTCGTTTGTTGGCTTAGGATTTAAAAATTGGTCGAAGAAAGAGAAGTTAAGGATTCATATTGGAGGCGTTAATAGCGCTCACAACCAGGCTTGGTCGAAGTGCGCAATTTTGTTGAACGAACAACAACACATTGAAGCTCTTACGATCAAGCAGCCAGAACAAAGTAATATAGACTATAAGATACATTTGAATGCATCGATTGATTGTGTTCGGTTTCTTTTAAGGCAACGTCTTGCATTCAGAGGCCATGATGAATCTGAAACTTCAAACAACAGGGGGAACTTTATAGAGCTATTGCAGTTTCTTGCTGATCATGATAAAAGCATCGAAACTGTTACTTTCAAGAATGTTGCTGAGAATCTCAAGTTAACTTCATCAGATTTTCAAAAGGCCATTCTTAATGCAGTTGCGACCGAAACAATGGAGCTCATTCTAAGTGATATTGGTGATGATTTTTTCTCGGTCCATGTCGATGAATGTTATGATGTTTCAGTTAAAAAACAAATGAGTGTTGTGGTGCGTTATGTGGACACAAGAGGACATATAATCGAGCGCTTTCTAGGTATTGAGCATGTCCCAAATGCTACATCTATCCCACTTAAGACGGCACTTGATGATTTGTTTTCACGACATGGATTGAGCATCTCTAATTTGCGTGGGCAAAGCTATGATGGGGCTAGTAACATGCAAGGTGAACTTGGTGGTCTCAAAAAACTAATTTTGGATGAAAATAGAAGTGCGTATTATGTTCACTGTTTTGCTCATCAACTTCAACTTACTCTTGTAGTTGTGGCAAAAAATCATTTGAAAATCGCTCGTCTATTTTTCTTACTAAGTAATGTTGTGAATGTTGTTCGAGGTTCTTGCAAACGCCATCACCGTCTTCGAGAAAAACAAGCTGCCAAAGTTATCGATGAACTTAATTTAGGTGAAACGCCAAGTAATCTAGGCCTCAATCAAGAAACTTCCCATGTCAGGGCGGGTGACACACATGGCAGATCGCATTATGATACTTTGGTGAGTATGATTATCTTGTTTCCATCTGTGATAGATGTGCTTGAGATAATAGAGGAAGATGGATTAACCCAAGAACAAAAAAGTGAAGCAAATATGCTATCTAAATCATTGCAAGACTTTGATTTTATATTTTGTTTGCACTTTATGAGAACTTTATTGGGGATTACTAACGAGTTATCCCAAGCATTGCAAAGGAAAGAACAAGATATTGTAAATGCAATGAACTTGGTTGGAATATGCCGAAAGCAACTACAAGATTTGAGGGATGATGGGTGGGATTCTATGCTCAAGCAGGTTACTTTGTTTTGTAAGAAACATGATATTGATGTTTGTAACATGGATGGAATATTTTTGCTTTCTGGACGGTCACGAGTAAAAGCTCCACAAATGACAAACTTACACTACTATCGTGTTGAGTTATTTTATGTTGTCATTGATCTGCAACTGATAGAATTGGAGAATCGTTTTAGTGAGACTAGCGCTGATTTGCTCATTTCCATGGCGTGTCTCAATCCGAGCAATTATTTTTCTGCTTTTGATAAGAGCAAAGTGATTCATTTTGCTCGTTTCTATCCCGATGATTTTTCTGAGATGGCACTAATGATGCTTGATGATCAACTTGAGACTTATATTGTTGATATGCGAACTTCTGCAGATTTTTCGAATCTAAAAGGTATTGGTGATCTTGCAGAAAAAATGGTTAAAACAAAAAGGGATAAGGTGTACTCTCTAGTTTATTTGCTTATCAAGTTAGCATTGATTTTACCGGTTGCAACTGCAATGGTTGAGAGGACATTTTCTGCCATGAGTATTGTGAAAAATAGGCTGCTCAATGGAATGGGAGATCAATGGATGAACGATGCCTTGGTTGCTTATATTGAAAAAGATGTTCTTGCTAACGTTGATAACGAAAATATCATTGATAGGATTCAGAAAATGAAAACTCATCAAGGTGACTGTTGAATCTATGAAGGTTAGCGTTCCACTTCTATAAAGAAGTTACATATATTTAATTTTGGATTGATCACTTTATCAATATTATATTATATATATATATATATATATATAGATATGCTTTTATTTATTTAGATTATTGATGTATTCATGTAATCACATTCAAGAAAACCACTATGAATGTAAATCATGTCTTTGTCCCTAATTGGTATATGTGATTAATCGGAAAGATGTTTCTTGGATATCTTCTGGTTTTTCAACTGCAGTTGTTTGTTTATCTCTTGTATCTTGTGTTCGCTCCATATAAAACATGCCTTCAAGTTACCTCTTTTTAGTACTGCCCTAAAAGATTGTGTTGTTTAGGTGATTTAGTTATAGGCTTATTTTAGAAATCCTATTGAAAACTATATTAAGTGTTTTCATTTGATTATAATTCTTTTTCTTAATCCCCGAGGTTGAGGACAATATCAGCAAGTTTCCAGAGGGACTTCCACCTTCTAGTTAAGCATGAGTTTGACATCTAAAATGGAGGATATCCATGATTTATTGTTTGCTTAATTTCGGAGTCATTTCTGGTGTATTTCTTGATTAAATGAACGAGTAAACGACTAGTTTCTTAGCTACTTCTTGTCTATAATTGCAGACTAACAAGCCTAAATAATACAGGTAGCTGCAACAAATGGATTCGGAGATGGTGATACACAATGGAGGATGCCATTGTAGAAATGTAAGATGGCAAGTTCGATCACCAGCCAGTGTCGTAGCCTGGAATTGCAACTGTTCAGACTGTGGTATGAGAGGAAACACTCATTTTGTTGTCCCTTTTGAAAGATTTGAGCTTTTGGGAGACTCAGAAAAGTTCCTAACTACCTACACTTTTGGTACTCGCACGGCAAAACACACTTTTTGCAAGGTATGTGGCATAACGTCCTTTTATACGCCAAGGTCCAACCCAGATGGAATAGCGATAACATACAAGTGTGTCGATTCTGGAACACTAACTCATGTGGAGATAAAGCGTTTTGATGGTTTGAACTGGGAGAAATCACACGAGTCAACTGGCATTTCATCGTGCTCTAAGGAGTGAGACCATAATCTAAAATGAAGATCTGGCAATTATGTTATGAACATTGTCTATGTTGTAGAATGTTAATATGCACTGTCTTTCTTGTACTAATACAAAAATGCCTGTTTATATGACTTAGACTATCAGGGTGCGTTTGGTATGTAGACGAGACTGGACATGATTGAATGGAATTGGAGAAAACGGGATCGGACGGTTAAGAGTGAGGTAGATAAGTGAAAGAATTGTGGAAGGTTTTAAGGTATTTGACAAGGATAGTTTAGTAATTTACCAATCTTATTATATCTCCCATCCTATCCCAATCTGACATTAATCTGAGAGTGCTCTGAATGTGGGACGACATATTCTTGTTCTCACTTGTCCTGTCTTGTTTTGTGTATCAAACGGGAAATGATTGAAGTTTACTCGTATACGGAGGTCGGTTGCAACATACAAACATGCTTTTCTTGAAGATCACCATAAACATCAGCTTCTTGGAATCTTGGTTCTCATGAAATGATCTTTCATCGACTTGGTTTTACTTTCAATTTGTTATGATTTTTGTCAAGTATTGTGTGTAAAGATTCAAGAGCTTAGTTTGTGGGAAGTTGTAAGGCTTAGGGATCGTTTATCCAAATGTTTACATGATAAATACCTACTAGTAACATTTTCACTTATCTTACTCGGTAAGATTTTAGTACATCAAAATGGCATTATATGCAACAATTTACTCGGTAAGCACATACCAGGTAAGAGTTGGGTAAGAGTTGTTATTCTCATTTACCAGATAAGACTCTCGGTCCTTACCAGTTAAAATTCTTGGTCCTAACTATGTTCGTCAGATAAGACAAGTGACCCAGTAAACACTTGCGTGCTAGTACTTGGTAAAATGCACCTTAGTTCCAATTTTTATTGGTTTTGTGTGGATCCCCGATGATTGTTATTTTTGGCCGTTAATATTGGAGAGAGAATATTGAACATTGTTGTGCAATTTTAGGATGATGTGCGACATAAAAAAACCATAATTGCGTTATAAAAGGGTCGTTTGCCATTTACACAAGTAAAAATCATTAGTATGGTTTACGAAACTCTAGTTTCTCAAAGTACACTAAATACATTATGATTTCTATTATGTTACGATTTTCATGTCTTTTTCGTTAAGTGCACATTCATGCCAACAGCTTGTCCTTCTGTTTCTAAACGTTAAATCGTAACCACAAGGGTGATGCCTGATTGGTTTGAGCTTAATTAAAAGTATCATGAGGACTCAGGTTCCAAGGAGAAATAAAAATCCCCTCGTGGCCATGGAGGTTCAAATGCGATGACTCCGGGCTATCTGCAAAACAGGTGGTGGTCCTGGGATTAATCGATTCGCGTAGCGGGTTGGATAACGAGGTTAATGAAAAAAACCGTTAAATCGTGAAAAACAAAGGGTTCGAAACAAATCCGATCAAACCTGAACCGAAACTCCAATCTTGTAATAAGGCTTTACTCAACCGACCCATTTAGGGTTCTTGTTTCTCCATTCCCTTCCCTCTATTCACCACTGCCTTCTTCTTCTTCCACCTTTTTATCATATCATGTAATGCTATTGTTATTCCATTTCAATGGCAAGAAATCCTGCAACACGCCTTCTACGTATATGTTCTTCACAATTTAAGCTTTCTAAGCGACGCTATGTATCATCCTCTAATCGCCTTGCTTCATCTTCCAATCAATTTTCTAGTCTTTCCACACAAATGCACCAATCTCGTTGTTTTAGTCACCCCTACTTGAATAAATTTCCATCCTTTAGTTTAGATTTTAGGGTTCATAATTCCAACAACAGATGGTATAGTACACCGGGTGAAATCGGAAGTCCGAGCTCCTGCTTAGAATCTACAGAGTCTATTTTATCAGAACGTGGTGGCGATAATAAAACCGAGGATCATGAATCTGCTTCAACAAGCGAGGTATTTTCACATGTTGCAGCTCTTGATCCTGCACAAATTTATCGTAGCCTTCGAGATGGCCCGATTGCGAGCAAGTTGGGGCACCAGGAAAAGGAGACACTTAGAGAAATTTTTGGGAGTTTTGCAAGGTCTGGTTGGGCTTCAAATCAGGCTCTAGCCATTTACATTAGTGCTTCTTTTTTCCCAACTGCTGCTAGTAAATTTCAACACTTCTTCTTTAAGAAATCTGATCGTGATATTGTTGATTACTTGGTGTCTCTGGGTCCTGGTAATGAAGCAGATCGATTTCTTTTTCCTGTATTTGTTGAGTATTGTTTAGAAGAGTTTCCTGATGAGATTAAGAAGTTTAGGGCCATGATTTCATCTGCAGACCTAACAAAACCTGAGACATGGTTCCCCTTTGCTAGAGCTATTAAGCGTAAGATAATATATCATTGTGGCCCAACCAATAGTGGCAAAACCTATAATGCTTTGCAAAGATTTATGGAAGCAAAAAAGGGGATCTATTGTAGTCCTCTTCGGCTTTTGGCTATGGAAGTTTTTGATAAGGTAAACTCACTAGGTGTCTACTGTAGTCTACTTACAGGGCAGGAAAAGAAGCATGTTCCTTTTGGGAATCATACTGCTTGCACTGTTGAAATGGTTTCGACAGAGGAGTTGTATGATGTTGCCATTATTGATGAGATTCAAATGATGTCAGATGTGTATAGAGGGTACGCATGGACCAGAGCTTTTCTTGGTTTGCAGGCTGATGAGATACATTTATGTGGGGATCCGAGTGTGCTGAATATTGTTAGGAAGATATGTGCAGAAACTGGAGATGAATTGATCGAGAACCATTATGGAAGGTTCAAACCGTTAGTGGTTGAAGCCAAGACTCTGTTAGGAGACATCAGAAACGTTCGTTCTGGAGATTGTGTTGTTGCATTTTCAAGAAGGGAGATTTTTGAAGTGAAAGTAGCTATTGAAAAGCACACAAGTCATAAGTGTTGTGTTATTTATGGTGCATTGCCGCCAGAAACTCGTAGGCACCAAGCTAACTTGTTTAATGAACAGGGCAACGAGTATGATATCTTGGTTGCAAGCGATGCTGTGGGAATGGGGTTAAACCTCAATATAAGAAGGGTAGTTTTTTATAGTCTTTCTAAGTATAATGGTGATAAAATTGTACCTGTTCCAGCATCACAGGTGAAGCAGATTGCTGGCCGAGCTGGTCGAAGAGGAAGTATCTATCCTGATGGGCTTACGACCACTTTGCAGCAAGATGATTTGGATTACTTGATAGAGTGCTTACAGAAACCTTTTGATGAAGTTAAGAAAATAGGCCTCTTCCCATATTTTGAGCAGGTTGAGTTATTTGCTGGGCAAATTTCAGATATTACCTTTGCCCAACTACTTCAGAAGTTTGGGGAAAATTGCCGTTTGGATGGATCTTACTTCTTGTGTAAACATGAACACATAAAAAAGGTTGCTAATATGTTGGAGAAAGTTCAGGGGCTCTCTCTAGAAGACCGTTTTAACTTCTGTTTTGCTCCGGTGAATATTAGGGATCCTAAAGCAATGTATCATCTTGCAAGATTTGCTCAATCATATTCTCAAAATGTGCCTGTTAGTTTAGCCATGGGCATGCCGACAGCTTCTGCCAGAAATGATACAGAACTGTTGGATCTTGAGACTAAGCATCAGGTTGTGTCTATGTATTTATGGCTGGCTAACCACTTCAAGGAGGAAACCTTTCCCTATGTTAAGAAGGCTGAGACTATGGCAACTGATATTGCTGAATTATTGGGTGAATCGCTCATCAAAGCTAGCTGGAAACCAGAATCAAGAAATCCTGGGAAGAAACGCAATGATAATGCAGATGGTTATCAGAGGCCCAGATCATTGGTTAAGCTGCAAGAGAAGTAAGTTCTTACAATGTGATTCTTTCTTTAATATCATGTTGTGAACATTTTAGAAATCCTTTTGAGGGCATCAGTGGTGCAACTTCGACCAAATAACACATTTTTGTTGTTTTTGCATCATTTTGTTGCAGGAAAAGGCAAGAAAAAGATTCAGAATCTGTAGAGAAGGTAAGTGCATAGGAAGGACCATATGCTGGATGCACCCTATTCACTGAACAATTAATGTGGTCAAGATGTGCACAAAAGAAGTCAGGTAAGAAAGCAAGTTTGCAAGTAACCCTTTTGGAGCCAACCTTTTCTTCTCCATAAACCAGCCTGAGATGCTTAAATTTTCAGTTATTCTTTGTTGCCAAAAGAATAGATTTAGAAACAGCCCTTCTTGTAATGGGAGTGGGAAATGGTGTTTCATCCTGTTTTAGCAGACAGATTGAAATTTGTAATCCGTATACTTGGAAGAGTTGTTTTTTACAAAGACCATTACAAATGTCTGCAGTTTTGAAGCCTCTTGAAACCTCCAATATGAGACTGTATAATTGTTCGACTATTTGATTCGAATCTGGTTAGTTAAAGTTGAAAGGTCAGGATGAGTCATGACCAAGGGACCGATTAGACCTGTTTCATGTGTTTACTCGAAGGGTTGAAGATCAATCGCTATAGCAGCAAAGAATGATGGATCTTTGAAGGCCAAAATACATTGCAACATAATGAAGTTTGTCTTACGTCTTATTTAATTGTAATGTTCAATTCTAATCTAGTGACATCGGTTTGTTTTGATGTGACATTTTTTAGTGTAATCAAGAATCATGCCATAATTTGACAGCTCTATGAGAATATGTAAATTTTCAATCAACATGATCTGTGTTTCCAACACAAATAAGAGAAGAATACATCAAGAGTAAACAAAATCTTTCACATCTTTTTGTTGCAATAATCCAAAAAAAAAAGCATTACATTTGCTCAAATCCCAAAACAAAATACTCTAAAAATTACAAAGATTACAAACCCATGAATCAATGTCAAAGCTGCCATTTATGAGCATAAAACTCTAGTATGGCAATTGCATCACAATTTCTACAATTCTTTTCTTCAAGAATTTCGAAGAGCAAAAATGGTAACTTTATTACAGGCTCCAAGGATCACTCACTTCTTCAACAAAGCACTGCATTGTGCCATAATCTTTGATGCCCTTGTGATGGCATCGGTCATATAGAAGTTCTCAATCGTAACCCCAAATGGCGTTTTACTCACCTTGCTACCGCTCTCGGGTTTCAGCGACACAGAAAATGTCGCTGGTTCCCTCTCATCCAAACGCAACAGGTTTGGTGCCACAGTTCTTATTCGTGACCGCACAGCAGTAATTGTATCATAAGGTAGTCTAACCCCAGAAACCTCAGAAAGAGCTCTAATAATCTTCCAATCTTCTCTAGCATCACCGACAGTGGGGACTGCTGGCACTGTTTGCTGAGCACACCCTTCTGTATTTTCGTATGTCCCTTCTTTCTCGCTGAACGCTGCTGCTGGAAGGATCACATTTGCACGATAAACACCTTTATCGCCATGGTGGCCCTGATACACAACAAAGGCGTCCTTTGGGAGCTTATCCAAGTTGACATCATCGGCACCCATTAAATACACGAATTTTGCAGATTCGATGCTGGTGTCAGATTCAGGCACGAGTCCAAGGTCTAGTGCAGCGGCTTGGGCGGCGTTAAGGAGCAAAACGTTGATTCCATTCCAGTCAGGTCTGACGAGGTTTTCGTGTTTGGAGGCGATGGTTTGAACAGCTGAGAAAATGGCATCTTTATCTTCCCTTTCAAAGATACCGGCGCCAATTATGATGGTGGGGTTTTTGGCAGTTGAGAGTGCCGAGCTGAAGGAATGGCGGCCCTCGGCTATTTCAACTAGGGTTTCAGGGCCTGTGCCAAGATGCTGATGATCATAGTTGAAATCAGCAGGAGGGCCAATGTAACCAACCTTGGCTTGGTTAGCTCGAACTGTTTTGCGGATTCTGGCGTTTACCATAGCAGCTTCCACCCTTGGCTGGCATTTAAACACAAAAACCAAGTTCGGTATTTGAAACTTGCATAAAAATTGAACAATTTAAGGGCAAGTAAATACCTCATAAAAAACGGAAGCTAACATCGGATTCATTGAGTTTTAATATAATATATAGGGTCAGGTTCAGAAGAAAGCCACAAAAATATGAAAAACTGAGAAACGCCCTAGTAATCATCTGTACGTTATGCACATGTGCTTACAAGTAATTTGTCAGTAATTTTTCCAGTATTATGCACATGTGCATAGAAACCAGAAAACATCTTCAATTACTTATAACCACATGTGCATGTCGTATAGATTAACGGAAACTACGGTATTCCTCAATTTTTTATTTTTTTGGAAACCTCTCTATACATATACTGATATACATGTGTGTGGGTATAGGGGTAGGTTCAAATGAAAATATTTTGAGAACCTAGAGACCAACCAACTATTCATATTTTATTCATGATGAATGTCGTGATAGAAAATTCATGATAAAATGCATGATATAATGAATGACAAAAATGGGTTATTCATCATGAATAATATACGAAATAGTTGGTTCCCAGTTTCTCAGAATATTTATACTTGGCAGTTATATTTTACAAATTTGAAGAACATTACCTGGGTACCAACTAGAAGAAAACAATCAGCTTTCTCCAATCCACTTATACTGCTATTTAAAAGATATCCCGAGCGTAAATCTGCATTCGTGTTCTTGGCATTTCCTTCACACCATACATTGTTGGACCCCATTTTGTTTAAAAAGTCTTTTAGCAAGATCATAGATTCTGCATCACAGAGTTTACCAGCAACTCCAACAATTTCCTCAGGTTTAACTTGGTGGATGACCTCCGCCACCACAGCAAGAGCATCACGCCAGCTCACAGGCTTAAAMCGTCCATCAGCACCACGAATCATCGGGTCATTTAGTCTTTGTCTCTTCAACCCGTCATAACAGTAACGTGTTTTGTCTGATATCCATTCCTCATTAATGTCCTGTGTCGGGTCAAGTAGAAGTCAATAAGTAATATTTCAGATTGATTGAATGAATTTTGAAAACTGATGGAACGACACCAACTTAAAACTAAAACCCTTAGACTCTTCCCTCAGATGGCAAGCAAATCATGGCAGCTACAAAATATTGGTTGGAGGCTATCCAAAGCTAAGAGCCTTTCTAAATTTTAATCAGATTTTAATTTATCATTAAGTCCCAAAAAACATATCCATAGCTTAAAATAAACGAGTGAATTGCCAAAAGTAAAGCCTTCATATATTTTCCATTAAAGTAAGGTCCATTATAAGAATTAAGCATTTTAATTTGTTAATAGTAGAAAAACTATGAAGTTTCTCTCTCCTCCCTCCACTCTTTTTCAAGAAGACTATGTCTGATCTTTTCGTCTTTTTGGGGCATGTTTTGACGCTGAAAAACTGCCAGAGTTTCAACAAGTTCTTGATTCATCAGCTGATGATGAACCAAACAAAAACATATGGGTCTAAGAGGGCTGTGTGAGAATTACGATTCTGGTGGGTGACAATGATTTAATTCAAGATCATAACAAACATACTCAAGACAATTGATACAACAGTTTCTGTAATTTGCTCTTAATCAACCATAGGATGAGCTAATATAATGTAGAAGCTAATATACAGAAAGATGGAAGAAGATGGTACCTCATTTAACCGCGGTACAATGCGCATCACTTCTGGACCTCTACTATCAATACGAATGTTAGAACCAACGGCATCTGTAACGTCAATGCTCTCGGTGCCTTTCAACTCCCAGTTCCGAGCTTTAAAAGCAAATGGCTTCGAGGTGAGTGCTCCCACAGGACAAATATCAATTACATTCCCTGAAAGTTCACTGGTCATGAGTTTTTCAACATAGGTGCCAATTTCTTCTCCACTTCCACGCCCCAACATGCCAAGATCTTGCACTCCTGCTATTTCACTTGCAAACCTGACACATCTGGACAACAAAACCCGAGTATGTTAGCAGCTTGAAAATTGATGCGGAGCAGTAGCTACCAATGCAGCAAACAAAAATATCTTATCATATTATTCATAGGTATGAGAAATTCATAGATTAATTTATCATAGTAGCTAAAAAAACATTCAACCAGCCAAAGTATGACGATGAAATAAATCAATTTGATGATATATGTTCACTGGCTGGGTGGAAAAGAAGGGGTGGCGATGAATGGAGTTCATACATATAATTCATATGTATGGGAGATTCACAAATTAATTTATCGTAGTAGCTAGAAAAAACATTCAACCAGCCAAAGCATGACGATGAAATAAATCAATCCGATAATATGTTCACTTGCTGGTTGGAAAAGAAGGGTGACGATGATTGGAGTCCATACATATAACGGATGTATTTCCAAAAAGATCAATGTTCTAAATATCACCGCTAAGAACCTCTTAAGCAACCACCTAGGTGTTTAGCTCCCCATCACTTTGGTTAGTTAAGGACACTTATCAGCCACATGAGAGTTAAGTGTCCCCATCACTTCAATTAGCAACTGATAATTGAAATAATTGTTTCAAATAAGCACACAAGAATCATTCAGATTTTTTAAACTTATTCATCATTTAGCACAAGAAGCACCTAAGAATAACAACTAAAAAAGCCTATGATAATCATATTGGCTGTTTAAGAACATCAGAAAAGGGTATGTAGACAAATAATCAGGAATCTGATTGCGATAGGGAGCAGGGACATCAAAAGACATAAAGATTCCCAAAAAAACATGCACATTACAGCTTTGTTAACTTCCAAGTAAAATTCTATAACAAGTGATAGTGATGCATACCTGGTACATTGGATGCACCGTGTCATTACCGTCTTGACCAAAGGACCAAGATTCTTATCAACAACAGATCTCTTCGTTTCAGTAAAACGGCCTCTATCAGATCCAAAAGCCATAGACTGATCCTGAAGGTCACATTCCCCACCCTGATCACAAATTGGGCAATCCAGTGGATGATTCATCAGAAGGAACTCCATCACTCCTTCACGTGCCTTTTTTGCCACTGGTGTATCGGTCTTTATTTTCATCCCTATAAGCAAAAACTTTCAAATTCATTAGGAGAGATGCATACCCAAATGGAATAAGTATGAAAGCACGTTCACATCCAGTTTTAAACAAAGAAAAGAAGTTCAAGTAGATCGTACATGTTTCATGGGATTAGATGTGACAATGCAGATGTGTGGTTCGAGAAACGAGGAGTTCTCAAATCTTAACAGGTGAGGAAATATTCAATTATCGAGTAAATATTATTTATACGACCACATATTTCATGCTTCAAAAAGAAATGATCCTTAAATGAAATACTGTTTTCTAATGCAGAATAAAAAGCAGCAGGATGTCTATTTAACATCATTCCAACAGTTCAGGTTTCTAGATGTATTTAAATACTTTGAAGTAATAACATTTAATATTTTATTATAAATATCTAGTCAAGGATCTTGCTGCCTTCCAGAATATGGTCTCCCCGCCACCCTCTCGGGAACCTACCTCTTTCTTCCCTCCATCTTCTTCGATCTTGCATTGCTCTGCCTCTCAAAAGCTGACCCTCCTTGTGCCACAGACCACATCTACCAACCATATAAGTCAACAAAATCACAGGGATGGCACAGCAGCATAGCAACTGCCACACTCAGGCATCCAAAAGTTGCACAGTGCCATACTATCGCCGACAGTGGCTGAACCCATGCAACATAGTAGATATACAAATCCTCATAGATGAAGACATAAAAAATAAACCTTTAAGATCATTGTCCAATCATGATTTGTATCACCTGGCCGAGTCTCATGTTGGTGAACTATATCTGATACCATATTGGCATCAAACTTTTCAAAATGATTTGACATTTTCTCAAGCAATTGTAGGTATCAAATAATGAAGTCATAATCCTAAATTCATCTATTAAATGATAGGAATAGGATCAGATGGACAGCACCCCAAGGCAGGATTATGCGGTCAGGTTCATTTCTGTCCTTCCTTGCTACTTCAAGAAAAAAGAAGTCATCCCTAATTAGAATACATATAACTAGTGTTTGTTACTTTTAGTTTTTTTATAATAATGATAAAATATCCCTAATTTGTTTGGTTAATTAAGACTTTCAGATTTCTGTAGTAACCCAATTGTGAATTTTTCATGGTATAACTTGCATAACTTTTAAAGGCGAAAAAAATAAGAACCAATCGACAGCAGAAAAGAACGAGTCATGAGAGAACTGCAAAAATAGAGCAGATGGAACTAGAAGATAAGAGTTCTTCTGGGATGATGGGATAATGACAAACGAAACAGCATGCTCAAGACATGACAGTAGCCAATCGCCAGGAAGGCATGTCAATACTACTCCCACCACGTCATCCATATAAAAAATTAACGACTATGTTTTTTTGAAGTATATAATATTTATATACGGCAAATAGAACAAATAAACTCACACACCCTCCTCACGTGAGTTTGAACTCCTGACTTCCTAGACGGCCAAAGACTCGCATACCGCTAGGCCAAAGGCCCTTTGGTAATTAATGACTATGTTCCCTATGTGTTATTGGCTTATTGCTATGTAGGTACACCTTGGCATTAAATTTAGTACCATCATTTGATCTCAAATATAAAATATTGGATGCTAAAATCAAATCAAAATAACATTAGAGTAGATCAGTACTTAGAAAATCAAAATTGTTATGTGCTACATAGATGATGGTGTACCTTAATAAATAGTGACTTGTAATAATACTAGTCCATAATATATTATAAACTGCAGATTGCAAAAAGAAAAATAAAAAAATAGCAAACTGTAATAAGTCATCTTCATCTGATTTTCTTTTTTGGGGCTAAATTTGAGCCCACGACATGAGAATTGAGATGCCATGGGAAGTCATGTCTCATTTGTCAATCACCATAGTACCCACCCTCAAGGCAAGAGGGACGTCAATCACCATCTACGTATAGCCAACGCTGTAATAAACCATGATAGTAGCTATGCTGAATTTGACCACAACAAATCATGGAAAACCCTCACAAGAGTCGAAACCATGATATGCACACACAAAAAACCCTAAATGCACATGAACTTGGTAATATATCTAAGTTCAGAAACATATTTATTCACTATTAAAGTATCAAGATGATGGCATTCACCAATAAAAATACATCAGAATGGTACCACAATTCAGATCTGATCCAGATGCTCTATTGATTTTGTGTTGTTTACTTCAACGCCCAAGAAAACCATATATTTTCACGTAAATCATTTTGACAATTTATCACTAAAATGGAATCTGACAAACAAACGAAACACAATTGTTACAACGCACTAAAGATCAAAGAGGCATTTAGTATCAAACAAGAACATTTTTAATTGTGTACATGCAGCATATGTCAAAGGTAATGTGGCAAACATGTGGTCAAGCAGCATTTTAGTAAAATCGCTTTGTAACAGTCGTGATTGTTGACTATTTGTTAAGCCGGTTAGGAGGTAATGTGGTTGTAGTGGCAAGCAAATTCTTTGTAAACTCCGGTTTAGTGGAATTGGGGGGCCAACCTCTCGGAAGTTAGGCCATAACAAGCACAGCAGTTGTTTTGTTCCTATTCTTTGTCGATTTGGTGTCACAACGCACAATAGCGTGCATCAATTGATATCAAAGCATGATATCTTGATGATTAGTCAAGAAAATGATAGAAGATCTCAAATCAATGCAATTGGAGGTGACTTGTGCAGAAGGTAATCTGCAAAGCATGAAGAAAAGGTTTCGGGCACAAGAAAAGTGAAAAAATTAGGCAATTAAGAAGCCATCCGGCGCTAGGAACCGGAAACTGGAAGAACGACGGCAAGCATAGGGAAGGAATTCAGGAAATAGACGAACAAAGGGGTTGAAGTTAAAAAAAGGATGAAAATGAATCATGAAACATCAGTGTCGGTGGTTCTTGGTGATGATTATTCCAAAAGGTGACTTTTTCGGCAATCCATAGTCTTCTTTTTTAAGTATTTGGGCTATTTTGGAAATGGGGGAGTTCTACTTCACATTTCCACCAACTTTCATTTTTCTAAAAGCTCCATATGGTTACCTCTCTTTGATCGCAATCTCCAGAGTCAAAAAAGAAATAGCGACTATTCCTGGAGGATTTCTTTCCACCTTGAGGACAACGTGGAGTTCTGGCGGTATTGATAAACGAGTCAAGGGGAATTTTAGTAAGACCACATTGTAGAAACCGTGATTGTTGACCTTTTGTTAAATCAGTTAAGGGGGAATAAATCCGTTAGGAAGAGGCTACAAGAAGGTAGTGTGGTTGAAGGGGCATGCAAATTCTTTGTAAACTTCAGTATCATTGAGTGGGGAAAGTCAACCTCTCGAAAGTTGAACAATAACCATCAAAGCATTCTTTGTCGACTTAATGTCACGTTGCACAATGGTGTGCATCACAGTGAAAAATTACAATGATGATGAACAAACATAAGTGAAATTCTAAGAAATTAGAGTGACTTGAAATTTAGCCATCATACTTTTTGATGCAAACTAACCATCATATTAGGAGAAATGCACTGAATTTGGAGAAAAATTTAATCACAATTCAATATCTTAAATCAATACGTACAACCTTGCATTTGTTTATCGTAAACGACATTATATATTGGAAAAAGCAAAAAGAAAAAAGAAGACACCATGTAGTTGACAAGAAACATGCATAATGGACAAAATTGTAAGAACTTAACAGTTGTTGATGTAACTAGCTAAATTACAAGATGAACAACCGTAATTTCTACATGGCTAAACGCTTGGTTGACAAAAATAAAACTGTGCAAATATTTTCACCTCGTTGACACTATAGTTTCTTCAGAATTTTAAGCATTCATCAATCAATAAGTTATAACTTTGACTTTCGTTGTTTCCGTACACAACCTTATACCTTAAATTGTGTTACCTCTGTCCCAAAATAATGTAACGTTTGACTTAGCTCATGAGAAAGTTTGACTATCAGTCAAATATCTAAAATACCAGGAAATAAGAACAAAATGATGATAAAAACCTGTGGACCAAAATCAATATTATCAACATCTTGTTTTCAACAATTTCCATTATGGGTTGTCCCAAATAATGCAATATTTCTATCTTTCCATAAGTTTTCTCCCGTTACAAGATATTGATAACATTGATTTTGGTCCCCAAATATTTCATTTACTTTGTTCTTATTAAAGGTACTTTCATACTTTGAGACTTTGATCAGTGGTCAAAGTCTATCTTTAAACTAAATCTCAAGTCAAACCTTGCATTTCTTTATGGACCAATAAAACATACTTTAGAACTCATTGAGGTTGGGCATAAAACATTGAATGTGAAAATTAAATTTGAGAACTTATTTCATAAAGAAATGCATAGAGGCATAAGAAACCATTATTTTTGCCACATTTTTTTATCAACTATAGTGTTTTTTGCCATTTAGAAAAGTAGAATTCTTCATTTGACAAAACCACTAATTACATCAATGACAATTAAGTTTTTGTCCATTTTTGCACGTTTTTTGAAGTATATAATAGTTTATATACAACAAAACTCAACAAACTCCTCGCCTTTGGTGAGGCTTGAACCATTGACATTGAGGGAAGTTGGGATCAGGCTCTATCAGTAATGTGGGCACCGTTGGGCCAATGACCAAGGAGTGGTTTAGCGGTGCTATAGCGGGTAGTGGTGATCAAATAGTGGTCCCAAGATAAGCGACGCTATTTACCACTATATACCGCTAGTGCAATTAGCTCCTTTACAAACTCTATTACTATGTTGCGTGAGTGGGACTTGATTTGTTTTACTTTACTAGATATGTATTAGACATATATTCATATACAATATTTTAAGTTCTTTACTTCTTTATATGTATAAATAATGGTATTTATTATATGAACCTAAATTTTCACCACTTTACCAACAATCGCTATATCAAATCACAGCCCTAACCGCGATTTTAAAAAATGGTTGTGTTGACGCTTAGCCCTCCGTTGCCATCTTTTATGTTCTTGCCACCTACGATGTGCTTTCTGCATTTTTTTTAAGTATAATGGTCACTAAAGAATTGAATGCCAAGCACAATAGTTGAAGATGCGAAGTTGGAACATGTTGAGTAAAAAGATTTTAACCTTTGTAAAATTTGTCCAAAATCACTAAATGCAACAACTTGAGGTTTTTTCTTATCTACTTTTTTGCATTTTCACAAGAATGATAATCATTTGGCAAATATCATACCATCATCTGAATGTGCAACAAGTAATTAAAACGTCAATAACCAAAGGGTTGTTGGCCCAGCAGTCCCTGGGTTACCGGTAGAGCCCAACCCCCCAAAAGGTCAAGGGTTCAAACCTAACCAAAGGTGAGGAGTTTTCCTGAGTATTTGCCATAATATAAATTTTATATACTTCAAAAAATAAAATAAAAATATAAAACATCGATCATCAAAGTTTCACATGTAAAGATCCCTAAACCATACATGAGTTCCAAGTACACCCTATGTTAGATAGGATGACGATGATATAATTATATTAGAGGTTCAATTTGCCCAAAGTTCTTGGAATCCAGTGATGGATGAACCCAACAAACACTTCATTTCAGCACCGCCCGCAGCCCCACAAACCAACCAATCAGAAGAATTAAATAAACAAAAGAGAAACAATAAGAAGGGCGATGGAGTTGCATATGGGAAAATGAATGCAAGATGCAAAATTTCTTATACAAAAAACAGGTACCATAGCTTTATAAGTTACACTTACTTTATTTCTAAGTGAACTCATACTGTTGTAAGATATATGGATTGTGGATCCTCATTTTGGTCAACCGGCTGTAGAAGCTTTTACTCCAGGGAGGTCCAAACGGACTCCTCCCGGAATTGTTCTTTAAAAATAAACCAAAGCATTCAAGTTTCAGAAGTACAATGTTAATGATTCCAGTAAGCCCAGCAAAAATAGCTACATTTCGATTTATGAAATCCTAAATTCAATGTTGGCCCAATGCATATTTAAATGAGACAACTACAACAAATATCTACAGTTGTTAAGCACAGAAAAAGTCCTGCTAATTGAAATGAACTTGTACCAGATTCGAACCTCCATTCAGAATTTTAAGAACAACCCAAAAAATTTAAGTGCAAATCTAACCTGGGAGTGCAGGCATTGCACAAGAAGCAACGGGCTTCGGGGACTTCTCGACCTCCACAAGACACATACGGCAATTACCGGCGATGGAGAGGCGATCATGGTAACAAAACCGTGGGATATCAACACCTGCGATCGAACAGGCCTGTAAAACAGTCATCCCCTTGGGGATCTTAACCGGGTACCCATCCACAAAGACCTCGATGACATCATCTGGATTGGGAAAATGAACCCTAGCCCCGGCAACAGGAGTGCGCTTAGGGAGATCGGGCTCAGTCGGTGCCTCAGCTACGGCTTCCGGTTTGTGGAGCTCCGGTGTGGACACGATGGTTCTGACGATAGTCTTTGTCGACAAAACCCTGACCGATGAGGATCGGAGACTTCTGGAAGCTAGCAAACCCAACCCCATTGGTTTTCACCTCAATCTCACTTTGTGTCCAGAAACGAAATCTTTCCAAAGAAAATTGAAGTAAAGAAGTGGAGTTGTACCGTTTTCTTGGCCGGAGAAATGGGGCAGGGCTGGTGTGCACCATACACAGTACTACACTGGCTAAAAAGTAGATTGGACCTGAATTAGGCCCATTCTATTTTCCATTAAAATACTCTACTAAATACTAGGGGTGTCGGGTTGTTTATTTGAAACAACTTATATTTTTTTATAAAAGCATTTATCAACTTATTATAAGTCAAAAGAGTTTAACTTATTTAAAAACTTCTTATCACCGGTTTGGCATCGGTATAAGTTATTTATCTAAATACTCGAAAATACTTATACTGGGTACCACACCGTAATAAATCAATAAGTTATTTTTATAAACAATCTCAAACACCCCCTAAATACCAAATACTAATCTAGTAGTGATTTTTTTATTAATTACTACGAAAATAATTCCAAAGATGATAATTACTTCGTATTGATGCAACACAAAAATCTTGCTAAAATTTATATGCTTTCAATTTTGATAATCGATAAACTATTTTATTTGTTTAACTAATTATTCATTGATTTATAATGATATTATCGAACGTTTGTAATTATTATATGAAACATAAGTATCGACCTCATAAAATGTGTTAAATGTTTACGATTTTACTAGACTTTTGAGTCGGGAAATATTCTCTTTAGGTGAACGAAAGTGTCAAATCCTCTAAATATTCGTATTGAAATTTTAAAGTGATGACAATTTTATTTCAGTTTTTGTTTTCACTTGAACACTTTCTTTTTTGGGACAAGATGCGTGAAATAACAACTTACTTTTACAAATTTTCTTATTATAGCATTGTAATTTCAGTTTTTTTTATTATTGCAATATACTTTCAAAATATTTTTATTAGGGTATCGTAATTTCAAAATTTTACCTGTTATAACATTAGGTACATGAGATGGAACGGGTTCACAAAAATGTGTTAAACAGATAATGTGAAATCTTCGAGTTTCATACTAATTTTATATATCAATTGCATACTAATTTGTTCACTAATTTGAACAGGAACCATCTCAAGTAGAATCACGACCAAAGCTCATCCCGAAAAAAATGAAGCCAAATGAAAGAATAACTTTGAACAACCTACAAAAAAATATTGTTTAGAAAGATGGAGAGATGGTAGTTGTGACAAGACGGTTCCACTTGATTAAATATCATTGTTAGACGAATGTTTATAAAATGGGGTTTTTTTTTTTTTGAAAAATATGTTTCACTTGTTTAGTTTTTGACATTACAAAGTAAGTCATGAAATTTACGACAAACTAATGGTTTTTTATGGATTATAATTTTTAATAAACATATTTGATTAAATTTACAATGTTTAAATGATAAAAATATTAAAATTAGAAGAACAATGTTGTAATAAAAATTGGTGATGTTATAATAAATTAATTTTGAATGTACAATGTTATAATAAGAAATGACATGCAACATTATCGTACATATGAACAGCCTACGTGGACGATAAAAAGGCAAAAAAACCTGATATAATAGGTAAATTTAATTTAAAAGATTATCTAATACTATAATGGGTAAATTTTTAAAAGTACGACGGTAAAACATCAGTGTGATAAAATCAGTGATCACAAGCTAGGATGATTGCCTTTGTGGGCATTCAAAGTGAAGTAGCAACCATCGCGTGAGCTACATTGTACAAGCTAACATGGAACAGATGCAGCACATAAATCAAATCATCCGCACTTCCAAATTATGTACACGAAAACCCATTTTTCTTCTTTAGTCCTATATAATTTATTCATTTATTGTACCTAAAACATCTTTCTTTTTTTTTACCTATTTGCTTAGTTCCTTTTCCAGCTCATCGAACTCCCAGTCTCCTATCTCTTCCTCTGTGTACTCACGATTAACTTTACCAAACTCTGACTCAAGCTTGGCTAGTTCTGCTTCAGGGTCCAGCCCGTGACCCTGATCACCTTTTGCACCCGGCGACTTCACTCGGTGCTCGTTTTTTTGGGTTTCGGTTTCAGGTTTCGCAGCAGCCTTTTCCTTTGCATGTGCTTGACTTTCTGCTGGCTTGGTGTTTGTTTCAGTCTCTGGTGTCTCCTCTTCTTGATCGGGATTCTCCATTTCTAGATTTGGCCTCTCAATTGAATCAAACTTTAGCCTTAATTTTTCTATACTTTCAAAAAGTTCTTTGATTCTGGCATTTTCTTTCCTGTATCAAGAGCATACGAGCATTTCAATTTCAATTTCAATTTCAAGAAAAATCTGCTAGATTCTAAAATATCATCATTCATTTTGGGCAAGACAACTATTAATCAGAAAAAAATCGATGTTAATAACCATATTCAAAGCTAAGGGCATTTGCATAATCAAGGGAAGCAAGCACTATATTATGTTTAGGATCACAAACTTCATAATTGGCAGCACATTATATGGTCTAACATGGTACTTATCTTTCAATTAGGTCAGAGTGCAACTCTAGTTTTTGGAATGGAGAGTGAGGACATGCAAACTTCATCATTATACCTGGAAGTTTTTCCCTGTTGAGCATAGAACTGCTCTTTCATGTTATCCACCACACTGAAGGTCGTGACAATCTGCAATCAGGAAATAAACACAAGCAACATCTTGTCAGCAGCTGGAAACATAGTTTGTGCAATTTAAAATTCAAGCATTGCCGACAGTTTTTCTGGATCGCGGTTGTTTGACTCCCAAACTGTAACCCGTGAAAACAAAATTATCATGGGATGTAAAAGACCAGTGGTAGTCACAACTTTGACATGACAGACAATAGAACAGGCAACTAAAGTTAGGTTAAATTGATTTCTTGGAAAGAATTTAGCATGGAGACAACTGACAGGAGTGAGTTTGGATGTGTATCCAACATGGGGAAACATTTGTGTATAATACCTGGTAAATTAAAAAAATGTACCTGAAGAACAAGCGGAAAAAGAGTACATTAAAACCATTTTGGTGATAAGAGTACTTTTAAAGTGTGAAAAATATAGAAATTTTTAGATTCCTGTTTAACAATGTTTTAAACGGATCATGGGACCTGAACATCTAAAAATATTTTTAGACCTCAAGTATGACCTCAGTTGCATGCTTTTAGCATTCAATTTACCATATTTCAATAGAATTAGAGAAAGCAGAAAATTTTATACTTTTTTTACAACATTATATTATCCAAGATATGAATCATCATATATCAGGTAATACTTGGTGCAACCCAATAAAAACGCGCACACACACAAGGATAAAGGGAATCATATCAAGAAAAGGAAGGTTTTTGCAACCAACAGAGCAAACAATGGAAATGTACAAAGGCAGCTATGCTGGTACCTTCTCTTCATAGTCCAGATATTCTTCCTCAAGACTTCTTCGAGGGTTTATTACTTTGGAATCTTCTTTGTCCACCCTGGATGGTGGATCTGACCTGTATTGTGAAGATAAATATTTTGTTTCATATTATCAAACATTGGAAAGCATTGAAATGCAAGAATGTCTATTACCCTTCTTTTAAGCTGTTCAAGTTCTCAACGTATTTCTCAATACGGTCAACCGAAGGCTTCAATCCTTCCTGTGTACAAGATAGAAAGTAATAAATACCAAAAACCAACATATAGCTGCGAGGAAGTATTAGGTATTAATATGACCAAGGGTAGAATATAAAGTATACCTCATAAGTCGTAAGAAGTTCAGTGACCAAGTTCACAAAATAGCTCTCATGTTTTGCCAATTCATCACTTGAGAAAGTTAAATAAGAGATTAACCATTACAAGGTATTTCAAGAGATAATGCATACACATTCTGAAGCATGAAAACATACCTGATCTGTTTCTCCTTAGTCTCTGTATTAGCACGTTGAAGAACCCAGGTATCTTCTAAGAAATTGACCCAAGTATTCAGAACATTCACTTCTTGCTTACAGGAGCCAATGGATTTTACTAGCTCATCTTCCTATATATAAATATAATGAGAAAATAGAGTTTGTTAGTATGTTCTGCAACACAGAAGTTGTGTCCTCAAACCAAAATTAGAAGGAAAGAAGCATTAAAAAACGTAAACTAGATCATATGCTAACGAAAAAGAAAAAACCTTTGTTTTCAAGTGTGCAACAAGCTGATCATTAGCTTCGTAAAACTGATCCCTCTCTTCCCTAACATTCTGAAGCCGTCCATTGGCAGCTGCCAGTGAGATGTTGACCTAGAACAAGAGTCCCACTTATTAGCACGTTTGTAAGTGAAGGGCTCCCAGAATGACAAAATAAAAAGAGGAAATACTAACAAAAACACATCCACATAAATGCAAGATAAGAAAAAGGATGAGAACCACAATGTTACACTTGAATATCCACCCAATAAAACAAGCTTTTTGTCAAAATACCAAATCATTATTTCTTGGAAGAAGAAAAGGAGACGGACAAAATGGAAATAAATTAAAAATATCAGGGTAAAGAGCACCATAAGTAGAATTTCCCATATACATTTATCAAACTGATACTTGAAAGCATTCATACATATAAGGTCCTACTCAAATAGAAGAAAGACAAGATCAAATGGTACAGACCCTTTTTAGTTCAGCTTCAAGGTCATTTCTCTGTTTCTCAAGACCTGCAACCTCAGCAGCCAATTCCTATAAACAAAACCAAAAGATAAAAACATACATCTGAAATAAATATATTGAGCATTCACCCAGCATGCTTAAGGAAAGTAGATCTTCCATCACATCTCACAGTGCTTGATGAACTCACATGAGTTAATCTTAACAAGTAAATATGCACACTTCAGTGCATGCATGCACATATAGGTGTCTGTAATGAACTTAAGAAATAAATTAATAAGAGCTAGTTGACTACATTTAGATCTGCAAAAATTAATCATGTTCCATTTTACTCATGTAGAAGATAATAATATCTGATCCAGTCACAATGATGAACTTAATCAACTATTGAACAATATACAAAAAGCCAACCATTAGTGACTGTAAATGAGAGAAAATGTATGAATCTTAGAGAAGTATATTCCTTCCATTTATGATGTATGAATAAATGATATCATTCCATGTCGAGAAACAATTTTCATATAATATCACTCTCCCATCCGAAAGCGAAAAATTTGAGATGTATCAAGATAAGTGCATTAGTTCAGGATTCAAATTAGATAAACGTTTTTTTCACCCACCATAGTCCCTGATCCCGTCATTTACAATATGAACTCATTTTTAATATGCAAGAATAAATCCAACATACGTTTTTTTGTTAGATATGATAATAGAGAAATGACGTGTCAACTTATGCAGCATAAGCCATGATGCATGTAAACATGCCATTTTCATAAAGCAAAATTTTTCAATGAGAAGAAAAGATAAACCAAAAAAGTGAGAACATCCACGAAATCCAATTTCTATGACATATGGGTACGCTACAATCTGTTTCCTTCCTTATTTTGATAAGACGAAAGTTGAAGGTGCTAAATGTAATTATGCTATCCGTAAAATTTAAGGCATCAATTTGTCAACCTTAGTTCTTGTACTTATATTTTTAGTTTATGCAGTTGGTGGTAGCTGTAGATCAGAGTTCATGCTTGACAGGCTGTGAAACATGTACATCTGCAAGGATGTATAAAGGTATAACATTGTTAAAGCATTCGTCTCTCATATTTCCTTCTCTAACCTGTATTCTTCTGCATTTCTGTTTCTTAGCCATTATATTCACTCATCAACATATTCAACAGTACATCAAAGAGAAAAGGAAAATTTAATGGGGAAGTAGGTAAAACAAAGAAAGATGAAGACCTGACCTAAGAAATTAAGAGTCAAAGCTGAAAACCCAAAACCCCTCTGAATTTGTTTTATTTATGTTTTACCTCATGATTAGAGGCCCCAAAGGCAAAGTTAACGAGTCCACAAACTTTAACATTAGCAGGATTAAATATACACTTATACAGCCCAAAAGATGAAGAGCACATTTTGGCACAGGGCTGCACCAGTGTGCCCTGACTTCTATGATTATTATCATTCAAACAAAGTGTAGATGTGAAAATAGCATGTTTCAATGGTGTTCTCAGGTGAAAGAAAAAAGATGGAAATTACTAGAATATTGGGAAAGCATAACAAAAAGAAGTGGTAATGGGTAGCATTTGTTCTGTGAGCCTCTTACCAGTAATCCTCTTCATTGCAAACTTAATTGACTAGTATACCTGTTGCATTATCAGCTAAATCTCCATCCAGAGGTTTTCTCTTGCAAGCCCTTTATTTATAGCTAGTTAGATTCTATTGTATCTCTTAGCATGCATTCAAAGGTAGTGCTCTAAATAAGCGTGGGAAACTCGTTCACTTGATAGAAGAATGCTTTGAGATAAAAGTTCAGGTTTAGATCATAGAACAAGGATATAATTAAGTTTTAAAACAGTACCAATATTATTTGAATCATGTCCCAGTGTCAATATGGACCCAATATGTCCAATCTGAACTCTCTACAAAGCTGAGCTGACTAAGTAATGGTATGGGAAACCATTGTCAGCCAGAAATCCACAGGAAGAGTTGCCCGAGGGAGTGCTTAATTTTACAAAACTAATCAATCTCAGACGAGAAGTTCTCGAGCAATAATATGTCAAAAGTCATAATAATGTATCTCTGAAACCACTAAACCCTGCAACAAAATTGTGTTATTCCCCTTCTCATTTTTATTATTGGCATATAAAAGGCGAGACTACATGCCAGTAATGTCTAGGGGTGGGAGTAAAGTATTTGAATCCTTAAGATCTAACCACTTAAAAGCAGATGATGTTGAATAATAACAGGTTGTGAATCTTAAAGCATGTCAAAAGCCAAAACAAAGTTCTAGTTTAATCCATATAAAAAGCACCTTCTCTATTTCACCAACTTCACTTGCTTTAGAGACGCGGAAATTTAATGCCTCCTCTTTCTGAACTCTGCCAAAAATTAAGATTTAAAAGAAGACAATTAACCCACATACTAAGACCATTTCTTGTAAAACAGTACAAAAATTTACTGCCATAAATTGACATGTTATGATTTCTTGATCTTTATATGTGCACTTTGTCCACCAACAAGCGTTTGGCAAAAACAGTTCACAAGAAAACAATAATATCCTCAATCATTGTAATTTATCCACGTATCTGTTCACAGATCTGAATGACATATTGCCTCTTGAGGCACCATGTACATGACTCCGCATAGGCCTTTTTTCTATGTCAAACATTAAGCTAAAATCAAACGATGGACAATTTGTTCTTGAACCTCTTTCCCTGCTCACATCTTGGAGATGAGTTATTTACTTAATTCCTATTACTTGGATCATTTTTATATGATAGCTCTCAGAGTACTTCATATTGTTGTTTGATCTCAAATTTGGTCTTCAGCAAACAAACTGTGTGGTTGGCAATATCTTAACATTGTAGTATTAGGTGTCCTAAGTAGTGTGTGGTATTCATTCATGCAATTTCTGGAGAATATATAAAGTTGAACTAGATTAGGATCTTCAACATTCTGGCCTTCGTTCAAGCTTGATATTATGCAATGGGTAGGCCTTCTTAACCCTCTCTTTCCTCCTTTCTATTATCTGAAATAGCATGCCCTTTTGTACTATACCCACATCAACTAAAGATCCAGAAAGCAGTTGACATTCGGGACTTCTAGCAATTTTATATAGTACACATTAGTTAATGCCTAATGTACCGTGTTCTTTTCAATCATCAAGCAGTTGAGATCTGGGACTTCTAGCAGTATACTTGTGCACTCTAGTTCAACATGGGAGAGGACAAAAGAAAAAATTTAGCCTACTTAATCAAACCTTAAAGATAACTAAAAGTAAGGCCGCCTGGTGTCCTCGTACGACATGGCTGGCAGCCAGAAACCCTCAGAAGAATACCCATAATCCAAAACTCCGCTAATTTTATGGCGTCATGAACGAAAAGTAATCCTACATGTGATTTACTAACTGATTCCTATTGAAAAGGATACTCTTACAAAAATTGACATGTATCCTTCAAGAAAGCTATGACCTGAATTTTACAGACCCTAGATCATTTCACTTTTGTATTAATTTCTGCATGGTTTCAAATATGCGTACCCTAATTAGCATGGGATAATAGGCCTGATGCCATTGGCATTGGGAAATAAACTTATCTTTATGTTACAAGGGTATGAGATACATGATAAGGATTTTTTAAGCACCAGTCAACTCAACATCAGGATCTCAAGAAGAAGATGGAAAACCTTCGTACTTTAAAAGATGGAAAAGTGCTTATCAATCAACAATTGTACGAGCAAACTACCACTATTATAGACCTCTAAAGCTTTGTAACTAATGGGAAACTCTAAGAACAGGGGCTAAAAAATAATGAAATGATACGAAAAATGAGCAACCAACTGGATCACCGATGAAGTTGGAGACTATTTTGGCCGGATTATGATACAAGTCCAAGATTCGGTTTGAGTCCCAAGGATCAAACAAACAATTAAAGACATAAGTGATAAATGCCCGATAGAACAAGTAAATGCATAAAAGTAAAAGACACAAAAATACAAGGCTAAACAGTAGTGAAAACAAGTAAAGAATTGTTGGTGTATTCTGATTGAATGAGAGTACTTGATTACTCAGGGGTTGCTCGTGTACTCCTGTAGGCGTTTGCCTTCTCCTCTTACAGCCACGCGTCTTGGATCCTCGGAGTATTGGTTGGGCTATTCCTGGATTCGACCTCGTCAAGGAGTCGTCCAACGGCTACCTTCCCCACTCTGGGCTTTATCCGAGCAATGATCTCGTCTTGTATGGGGCTTGAGTCTTGGACCTGCGAATGGGCCGTGGAAGTCCTAATACAAGTCACTTGAGCCAGAGCCCAAAGGCTCTCCAGGTCTGGCTCCTGTGCGGTTGGGGCAACCGGACGATTTGTCCCCAACAATTTCCCCCTAGACTGGTGGGCGTTAGCGCCACCTGGCTAACTCCCTATCAGATGGATGTGAGGTTGAACAGACGTGATAATGCGATGAGGTACTTGAGTGCGTTGTATAAATCCTCGGAGCCTCTCTTCCCTCCGTTTTCAAATTACCGGATTTTCTTTGAGAACCCCTTGCATTGTAATAGGAATGGACGCCTACCTATTTGATCGATTAGTGGATCAGTGACTGAGCGTCGCCCACGGTCTTTACCGAGTTAGGGGTTTTCCACATTACCAATTGATACGTGTCTCTTACTTTTATGCAGTTACTTCTACTACTGGGCATTTATCACTTCTTTCTTCAATTGTTTATTTGATTGTTGGGACTCAAACTGGGTCTCGAACTTGTATAGGAATCCGGCCAAAACAGAGAGCACTAAGCGAAAACTCACCATAAATCTTGTTCCTAATCAATTTGTAAATGAGATTTCATTTTGTGAGTAACGGCTATCAATCTCCCTTTTATGTTGTTCATCTCTCTTTCAGAAAATTGTGCTAACAGAACCTACAATGCCAAGAGTTCTATAAATATTGCTCCCAGAACTTCACTTCCACGCATTAAGTGAAAACTTACCATCAATCTTGTTCCTGATCAATTTGTAAATGAGATTCATTTTGTGAGTAACGGCTATCAACCCTTTCATGCTAGTATCACTCACGGCTTACCTCCTCTTCAGAAATTGGGGTAAAAGAACTCTAAAGCGCTAAGAGTTTTATAAATAGTGATCCCAGAACTTCACGTTCTGTTTCAGGCAAAACTTTCAAAACTGAAATTTCAAATTAAAGAACACATGAAAAATAATATGTATAAATACCTGTTATCAGAAATACGTTTCTCAGCTTTACTGGAGGAGCTAACAAGAGAGTCAGATAACACTTTCAACTTATCCACCTGTTTGGAGCCAAAGACAACACTTTTCGCCATCAAACTTTTAAACGTAACTTTTTTAAAGGAAAATAAAAAGCAACTAGTAAAAATGCAACAGAAGCTACATTGGTTAGACAAGAGTGTGAACTAGGGAGAACTTAACCTTAGGTGTTATTTGAATTGCACTAGAAAAGCTACACCAATTTGGTGCAAAAAAAATATTCCACGGATATTCTTGCCCCAAATTTTTATCAACTCCAGCGTATACAGCAAAATTCTTTACATGGATTTAGTTTAAATTTGCAAAATAATTTATTCTAATTAAATTACTTTATTTATAAAAATTAAAAATAAAGCCTTCTACTTTTTAATTAAATACTACACACACACATATATGTATTACAAACTATTAATTTGATTGTAATCTTGTGTGCTTTTGTTTTGTTGCAATATTTGGCTTTGTTGTATATTAAGGTTGTAATATATTCTATTTTTTATTAATGTTGCATGTTATTTTACTTTATGTTTGTGTACCTTTTAATTTATAATTACTTGTATAATTTAAAAACTATAGTTAATTGTAATACTTATTAATAACAATTATAAATAAATATTATAAATAAATTAGATATCATATTCAATAATGTGCTCATTTTAAAGGTCTCAAAGAGATTTTTGAAATGATATATTTTGTGTAAATTAATTTTTACTTTTTGTGTTGAACACTATACATATTGTGTTGAATTAATAAAAATAAAATAAGAGTATAGCGTAGAAATTCAATAACCAAAAGGGCTAAATGAAATTTTAAACTTTTAAAGAGTGATAAATAGTAACCTATGAAATTTGGTGCAATTTATCAAGTTGCTCAACATGATTCATATGACTTCTTCCTCTTATAGAGATTAACTGTATCTTTTAAAAACAAACAGTTGATAATTCACATCATGGCTGTTAAGATGACCTACTTTTGTTACAAACAGGAACAAAATGTGTCCAAGCACTTAATAACCACCAATTCACTGTTAACGAAATTATATGAGAGCTATTTCGTAATTCGTTCCTCAATCAGGCATCTTCCAGAACATAAAGAAAATAAATAGTAAGGCATAATCTGTAAAACATAGTAAATGAAATAGAGCAGGTATCCAAGCCGAGTCACGAAGCTACCTTTTGAGCATGGATCTCAGGAGTTTCCCCACCATAAAGCAACTTCTTTTTCAGTAGAAGCCCTTCTAATCTAGAACAAACTCGAATATGGGCCAGAGCCTTCTTCAGAGCCTACTGGAAAACATAACAATTAGATTCCAGAGTATAGATCAACATTAACAGCCCCACCTCCCGTAAATTAGAAGTTTGAGATGCACCGTGTTGTACAATCCTATCAATGAACTATATCTCACTCATAGTACATGCCCCCTTGCATTTCATATAGAGGTAAAGAAACTTAGAAGACCGTGTTATGTTCCTTATGTACCCTTATCATTTGCATTGGCTAAATACTAGTGAGACCTGTCAGGCAACTGTACCGTGTCATTAGGGTTGCATCGTAGATGGAGATACAAAATCTTCTATTTTGAACAAGGGAGTGGCATTCGAGATAACCTGATAATGACGGACGCATATATAATATGGACAAAGTGTAGTCACTTTTGTGAATCCCATCTGAAACTCTTTTGGTGCATAAACATGATCGAGAGACATATACTATTACAAACACAGCACCAGAGTTATTTTTTAGCTCGGTTCTGAGGTAAAATTTATTAGAACATGGAAAATGGAAGGCATGCACTTGCTTAAATATTAGGAAAATTAGGGAGGTCACATATAGTGCATGTGTTGCTACTTGCTAGAGAGTAGTAACCAACAGATAATGTTAGCTATCTAACCAGCAAAGGACCAAACCAACAGTGTCTGCACAAAGACACAGGAGGGGTAAGATATAAAGAATAACCAGAAGTCAGCCATGTGGATATCTGGATCACCACTTTCTTCCTTTATGGATGAATTATACATCACATGCATTTGCCATAACAACTGAGTCAATTAGCTTCATCTCCCCATGCCCTCCAAACAAGAAATATGAGATTTCAAGTGGTTAAAACTCTGAAGACAAGGTTCACCTCTATTGTAGCAATCGTTGCTTCTTTGGAGGCTTTTTCATACCCATCGCCAATATTATCCCCAGATGCTTCCATTCCATCAAGCTTTTCCTTGAGCACAGAGGCTTCAGCATCAATTCTGTGAATAGCATATGAAGAAAATGAAGGGAATATCTCACTCAACCACACATTCAGAATACAATTATATCTAATGTGAAGACTGACTACGCATATTTTCCTATGCTTTAAGGTGGGAATAGATTTCCCTTGCATGTGATTTCAAACAAATTAGGAAAGAAATTACATGCTTAAATTGACCAGCTAAGATGAGGAAGAAGGCATGCTAAGAGATTCCACTATGCAGGATAGCCTGTAGTCATTTATGTGAAGACAACCATGCACATGAGGGATAGAAAGGAATAGGAACTGTAACACTTGAAAAGTGAAAATAATTAGGGAATAAAGGTTTTGAGAGGAGATAATAATTCAAAAGATGGTGTTGGGTTAAAAGTGAAAGGAAGAGAAAAGAATAAGGGATGGAAGTGCAAGCTCCAGGGACCATTCCTGCCAAATCCATGAAATCTTGTATGGAACGCAGGGGAGGAGGGGTGGTTACGCCCCTTTAATCTGTTAATTGGATGTGGGATTTGAGAGGTTACGGCGAGCCTCATCCCCATTGGGAAGTAAACACAAAACTTGGTACGGTTTTAATCGTCTCTGAATCTCAAGCAAAGTTCATTTTGGGTGCAGTGCAAAACGGTCAAAGGATTCAGGAGAAAACGGGCGGCAAACAGTGTGACGCTTTCAGTGTTGTCACAACGAGTTAAGGTTAGTTCGCCCGTTCTTTTTGCATGTAAAGGTTTTTTTATTTTGGTGTGTTATATGTGTTATGTGTTTACTGAAAGTTTTGAGTCGTAATAAGAATCCGGAGTCCGTCTTTTTACCCGGAAAACCGATGTGGTAAGTTTCGGTAAGACCAAAACATTTAATCGCGAACTTTAGGCCCTACGGTGCATCATTTTCGATGATTCTTAAGCCATGGCGTGAGGTACTATGTTGTGGTGATTTAACGCAAAAAGAATCACGGAAAAAGGTGAAGAAACGATCCCAAACGGATGAAAACCGTGGCTGCCAGCGTGAGGTGGCATGGCTGTTCCAGGCGGGTCCGGTTCGGAGAGAGTCAGGGGCCGGATCCTGCTGAACCGACTGATGGGCCGGTTGTCCAATAACTTGGGCCAGGTGTTGGGCCAAGTAATTAAATAGTTTTTGAGCTAAGACTTGGGCCTTAATGTTGGAATTAATTAATTTATTTATTTATTTATTACGAATTCAATTAATTAATTTAGATTAACTTTTTATTTAATTAGTATATTAAATTGGATTTAGTTTAATATGATAGATTGATGAATTAGGAACTAATATTTATTAATTAATCGTCCCTAAGGGATGGGTGAACTTTAAATCATTTAATTAATTTAATGATTTAATAATATGATTAAAACGTCGTTTTGGAGCCAAATAATTATTTGGGACGTTTTAAAATAGGAGATGGAGCTTATAAAATTATGGAGGGACTAAATAGAAGTTTTGTGACATCGGTGAGCCGAGTGCTCGGAGGTTGACCAAGGGTTGACCACAGTTGACTTTTGTTGACTTTTTGGCAAATTAGGCCGTTGATGGAGTATTTTGGTGCATGTCGTGTAGGTCACTAAGCGGGGTTTATTTGCTTGGACACACACGCTTTCTGGTGAGTCTTTATGAGACTTTATGGGATGCATACATACGTAAATAAATTTACTTTGAGATGATATTTACTTGGAGTTACGTATGTGGTGAATGATGGCATATTTTTATGTACATGTTCACGAGTGTATGTTTACATGTATATGACTGTTATGAGGAAATGCATGCTACTTATTTATAGGTTTTTAAATACTTTTAACATGCTATTTTGGAGTCGGTTTTCATGTGGCACGACCCCGAAATGGGTGCCGGACGGGGGTGAGCCGTGCAACCCAGAGAATGCCAGTGACATTATGCCATTGTGGAATCAGTTTTTATGTGACACATTATGGTGTCGATAATTGGGTATGGGGTCGGGCTCGATATGTCACATTTAGGGGTGGCATGACCCTGAAATGGGTGCCGCACGGGGGTGAGCTACTATCCTGTGACCTGAGAAGACAGGATTGAGCGATGGAATAGCCACTTTGCAAGATGAAAGAGAAATGATGCATATAAAGACATCCCCCTCAACCTTTGCCTAAGCTGAAAAGGCTTGGCACATTGGGAAGGTCCCCTCCTTTTGTAAGTATTAGAGGACTGATAAGGACACATATATGGTGTTCATAGATGCAGAGAAGGAATATGATAGAGCGTCCAGTAAAGGTATGTGATGGACCCTTTAGGAAAAGAAATGCACCATAAAGCAAAATGATGCAATTAAATAAGTAACTAGGACGTGAACATGTGATAATGAAACTAGTGTCTTCCCCGTTAGGAAAGAAAACTACAGCAAGGGTCAACAACAGTGCCTCATCTCTTTGTGTTAGTTATGGATGATCCCAAGGACACACCAGATAAAGCCAGTTGGATTTTCTGTAGGTTGTATCTGTAGTTCTCAGCTCTCTTCCTGGTCAGGGCTTGTTCTGGAAAGGAGGCTGTTTGGCGATTTCTGTTTGATCAGGATATGAGATGAAAGAGGAGGTACTTCCAATTTTGGAGTTGGGTTTCTGATTTGTCCCAGTTTGGCATGAATGACATCTACGCTCTAACATGAGGGTGTTTCTAGTCTAGCAAGTTAGGCACCTACCAGAGGAGGGATATTAGAACTAATAATCATATTAGGTTTAGATTTATTAGAGTTAGATCATGAAAAGGTTTCCTTTCTATTATGTTTGACTCGCTTTGGCTCCAAGGGTGATGTACCAGTACATTTTTATTGGGTATTCTAATGAATTTAAGCCTTCAACCGTAAATATTACCAGTTGATGGATGACATTATAACCTAGAGATGCCAAACCTAGAAATTCTATAATCTGTGTACAGTTCAAATGCAAGTATGCAATTCTGCAGCTTATGGAACAAAACACTGTGACTTCTTACCTTCGAAGCTCCGCATTGATTTTCAACCCAGTAATGGCACCTTGTGCAAACTGCAACAACTCCTCACGCTTGACCTAGAAGGCAAATGTGGGAGCAAGAGAGAAAAGAGAAGGAACAAGCCCTTGAGAGAATGATGTGAAATTTCATTGTCTCCTAAAGAGATGCATGCACATAGGTGATGCTGATATTGTCAAAAAGTACCAAAAAAATTGATTCATAATAAACCTACATGAGAAAAAATCAGCTTATACTCATAAATGCACTCAAAAGGTTCAAAAGAATAGAATGCGGAACATGGTTATGGCCTGATAGTCAATACTTGTACTTAAAATGTGCCCTAGTCAAAACCTAGTATCGCATTTGAGTAAGCTCTCGGCACAAACAAAATCCATTTACATCAGATCAAAACAAAATATCCTCCATTCCTGTTCCCTAACGAGATATTGCTACTCATAAAAGATCTGATATTTACATATGAAATAAGTTGACAAGAAAAAAAATTAAGTTATCAATTTAGCTTGAAATGGGATTGACGTACCAATGATTACGGCTATACCAATTTGTATTCTCGTATATGTAAAATGAGAACTCCATAATCGCTAGCCTACATTCCGACACAGTGGCAAACTGATCCAGGTTGGTGCATACCAGTACCTTTGTCGTGTGTTATGTGAAGTTATCAAGGAATAAGCATGATATCAGCAACACCATACTGTCTTTGTTTTATACAAGTAAATGAAATTATAAACAATAAAGCGAATGTCGTCCAGTTCTTGATGTGATTGAACTGGGAAATTGGCAACTTATAGAACAGGAAGAGATTCCCATGTACTACCAAAATTATTGCTATACTTCTGTAAGGAACTGTAAACTTCCAGACAAAAGACACCTGATCTAAAATATTATTCTGTTCTGTATAAAATGTCCATTGCCTTTTCAAATTACAAATATATAACATGACTGATGCTCCACTTGTCTAAGTCCTAAGGCCTATTCCTCCTCCTCTCTCTCCCTTCCACTTCCATGTCTGCAGATCTGCTACCTGGTTTCCCTTTTTATCCATTTTAACTTTACTCAAAGAAAATAAAATGATCTAAAGAGGTTGCAAAACCTTAATCTCACTCTTTTAGATATATAATGTTTTCATAAGTGCAGACTACTAATTCCTCGGATGCTCCATCACTACTTAAAGCAGTTCCATTCATTCTGATCTTGAAGATATCAAAAGAAAACAGATCATAGAAGGCACAGAAAACATTACATAGCAGCCATATGGAAGAGAACAATAGATGTCGTCACCAATAAGGCTGCACATCCCTAAGGATTCATTTCCCTAACATATATTGGCATGCAAATCTTGGCAACATTGCCTTTATAAAGTAAAAAACTGATAACTTTGAAGGTATTTAAAACGGTTGCATGTCGTACCAAAACTTCATCTTCGTAGCCTGAAAAAGCTTTTGCCAAATCCTGGATGCTGCTGACTATGGCATTATGAACTTCTTTTCCTCCAGTAAGGCAGCAACTGCAAACAGAACAAGGAACATAAGTTATACACTTGAAGTAAACCTATAAGCTCATATAAAAATATGTAAAAACTCACCTAAAAAATTCCAGAAGCAGAGAAACCTCTTCCTCACTTGGTGGTTCAAGAATCTATTCAGGGGGAAAAAGAAACCAACCAAATCTGAGCTTAGTTACAAGCCCTCGCATAGTAGCTACTGAGTAACAAGAAGTCGTAATAACGAGCAAAAACTCATAAAAAAGCAAAACCCTTGAAGTCATGAATTAAAGTAGATCACGAACTGTACAAAATAAATCATACAGAAAGCAAAACTCCTAATATGATGCTCAAGGATTCTTAAAGCAAGCCATGCCCAGGTGCAGTAGTGCCCTGTGGAGCCTAAAAAAACAGCACAGAAGCACCACAAGAAACAAGGACACTTGGATGATAAATGTTAATATTAGAAAAATTCGTCAACAATCATGAGAAGCAAAAACAGTTACAAAATGAGAATACCCAAGTAGACTTCAATCTAAATCAAAAGGAACATTGAAATTTCTAGCCGAATACAAAAAAAGAAAGATAATTAGCTAAATAAAGAATATATGTATTTTTCACATCTGAAGAATCCAAGATTTCCTCCTCAAGGAAAAATACGTTTCTATATGTCAAGACTTAATTTTAGAAGGATTCTAATTAATCTCAAAAGAGCACTTACTAGACCAGCACAACTTTAGCCACAATCAGAGCATGAATTGTTTGGCCAGGCATGCCTAGAGCCCAAAAATGAGCTTACTGAAATCACCCTTCTATTCTCAGGCAGAACCCAGTCACTATGCCACCTAAACACTGTGCCTAGTATGCTCCCAACTCCCAAGTCCCAATATATACGACCAACATGATGCATAATATCATGTACCATTATCTATGTTCAATATTCAGACTGTTGTAGGCATAACCATCAGCACCTATTTGTGACCACGGGAATGTAAATGGGATGAACGACGAAAGAAAAAGGGTGATCTCAAGCTTACTACACAGAAGCAAATGAAAGGAGCTGCTAAGACGAGCATGTAATCTATATCTTATTGATCTGTATCCGTTGATCGATTGCAATCTTGTATCATACAGACAACAGAAACTGCTGCAGTGTATAGTTGTGCCTTTTAAGAAAAAAGCACAATAAACACTACAACTGTACTTACCATAGATATTGTAATACCCTCCAAAGCTTGACTATAGAGAAAAACATCACGAAAATTCATTGGATCCCCCACCATATCAGAGTCATAATACAGAACCTGCCACGATTACAAAGTATTAGCACAATAAACTCCTGCTGAAGGTCTGTGAGCAGTTCACAAACAAGGTAATGGCATCATAGATCCTTAATCAGATACAAAATGACTTTACAAGATTATCCAACAAATACTTATCCCATTTATAAAATCAGTTAAATAAAAAACACATGATGTATCATTTATAATCCTTCATCCTAGATTGAATAATTATATAGTACATGGCTTGCTAAAAAGGTAAGTCTGGGTTTGGCTATTACTCACGACCACCATAATGCGTGACAAACTTAAGACACTGTTTCTAGACTGTTTTAAGCAACCAAGAAGATGCTTCTAGAACTGGTACAACCGTACAAGCCTTTAATTTTTTAAGCAGTGGCGTTCGATGTCACACCTAGAACCCTATGAGCTCGTTAGAATCTCTCTAGGGAGTAACCTTGTTGGATATCTGAAGGGTGCAGGTAACAGCCCAAGGGTAGCTAGAGAAAGATATGACCCTTCTGTTCATTACTAAACATGTATCCTTTCACAGAATGCACCCAGATTACCAAAAATGAAGATAAAGCCTTTCCATTTAAAAAATAAATAAACGAAGGAGGAAGTAAAAACAATCAATAGAATGCTTCGTCCTTGGAAGGGAGAAACAACATAAACTATATGGTGGATCATCAGTCTGATGCAGGATACCCTATAAAATGGAAGGTATCAAAACAATGGCAGGAGGGAATACAATAAAGAATTTGCTAACCAGAGATGGCTTTTTCAGGTTGTCCTTTATTTCTTCGGAAGGAAGATGTGGTTCATGATTCTTCTCATCATCTTCCAAAGAACCCCTTGAAAGTTTATCGGTTTCTCTCAGAGCAGCAAGCCATCTTCTCATCAAGTGTATCCTTTCTGGACCTCTGGCAGAAATAGATGCTTCTTCCAACCTCTTAACAGTATGCTTAAAGCTTTTAAAACTTCGAGCCCCCTGTCATGTACTCATGTTTAGCTTCATCAAAAGATTGAAAGGGACAGCAAATAGATAGATGAAATAAGTAAAAAGCAACAATAGAATAACAATTTAGAATACTTATTGGTGAATGCAATATCATTATACTCCAAGAAGTGGGAAACTGTGAATACTTCAATCTAACATCTAGATAAAAGATCAACAAGGTATATCCATCTTTGTAGGATAGATGAAAATACAATCCCTCCATCCCAAAAAACCAAAGCCTCCATTTGATAACTTCACTCTGTTAGAAGATTTAATTAGTTCATCCAATATAGAAGATAATCCTTTATTATGCTTTAATTGAAGTGAAGTTAGATAATGAAAGGCGGATGTAATCACTTTCTAAAAATGTGTCTTAGTTTATGCTTCCAAGTTAACATGTGACCTAGTGATAGTGATGATGTTGGAATGATATAGACTCGTATGAGCCCAAGTTGAATCATGAAACCATCCAACATTAAAATAAGGATTATTTATTGATATAAGAAGGAAACAATACCCTTGTGCCTTACAAAATAATGATGGTGCCAAGGGATGTGTTTTTCTTCAAAACAAGTGAAAGTAATTGGTAATTACTTCAAGAAGCACAGCTACTCATATGAGCTGATAAGTAAGAGAATTTATAGAGAATCTACGTAGATTGTAACTAAGCAATAGTGCATGATTTCATGCAATACAAGTTTCCATCTTACTAGAAAAATAATCTGCACCAACAGATTTTACTAACAATATGCTATCAATATAACATGCATTATAGTTTGCCCTTATAATCATGCAACAAATAATTAATTGCACTAATATAATGTTTTTTATATTTTCCTAGACAAGTCCTTGTCTAAGAAAGAATGGATGCTTCTCCTCCTTGTTGAATACCCATATCGGGCTTAGGCAGTGCACACCCTTTGGAGCTTTGACTGTATCCGAATTATTGAGCATGAATTAATAAGGACAAGAGAATCGTGATGCGCAAGGAGCAATTAAAATCCTTCCACTAAAGAAAACAAAATGAATTCACAATTTGCAAAATCAATAACAAAGGTTAAAACAAAAAACAAACTCAAGTTTTATGGCTCTAAAAGAGAGGGAAAAAACAAGATCACACAAGTTATTTTACAAACAAAGTAAGCATAAGCATGGTAAAATTTAGTATTAGTGTGTATTACATATTAGATGTATGAATCATGAAGTAGCTTCTTTTTTATTGGTTTGACTTAAAATTTGAATGTGTATATATATGTACATACACGCATATAAATGCAACCAAACAAGAGCTGAATATCCCACCCGGAGGTGAGGTCGTCGGGGTGGGATGTACCTCCACTCCAAAGGGTAGGGCCGAGGGCGGTTGTTTCCATGAAGACCTTCAGCTTATGCAAAGTGTGTGAAAAAAAAAGGATGAAGCTTGCTCAAAGAAATTGTGGAAAAAGAACATTCAAAAAAGAATTTGAAAACAATAATGGCAGTGCTAAAATTTGAAAAATGAGTTAAATGTAAGCAACAAAAATAGAACAGAAAAACAACCAAAACATACATACAGAAGCGGGTATAAGAAAATACAACCAAGGTAGGAAGAATGCAGCCCTAGTCTAACGTAGGATTCAGGGGATCTAACTATGACACTAACCCTACCCCATCCTCTACCTCTTTTGATCCCTTCATCCCATCTAGGCTAGCTATACAGATCCCTACCCCTAGTCCTAAACCGCCATGTCAAACCTTAGTTGCTCATCTCAAGTCCTTCTCAGCATACCCCCTATCCTCGTCCCTCAACTCTCACCCTTTCTACCCTCCTCAGCAGAACCGCCATCCATCTCCTGCATACCTAGCAAACCACTGCAATCTTCCTTCTCTCAACTTATCTATGATGTGCAGTTGTGCACAACTCCCAACACCGCTAGGCAGACCTCATTTAGGATCCTGTAAAACACGGTCCGTCCATAGATCCATTTAAGCATCCTTATTTCTGCAACCTCCAACTTCCTCTCATTGGCCGTCCTTGTCGCCCAACATTCTGACCCATAAAATATCGCTTGTCTTATTGCTACCCTGTAAAATTTGCCTTTCACTTTTTGGGGACTGTCTTGTCACACAGCACCCCCGTAACAGCCCTCCTCTTTAACCACCCCAACCTTATGTGCTGTGTTATGTCATCTTCGACCACCACCCCCCTTTTCTGAACCATGGGGCGTAAATACTTGAAATTATCCTTTTGGGTACATGTTGACTTCCACCACCTCGTCGATGCTCTCCCCAATGAAATTTCCTCCATAAGTATTTGGTCTTAGAGCAACTAATGTGCAGGCCTTCTAATCACAATGTACCCTCTATTGCTCCACCCTCTCGCTCACTACTACCTTGGACGCCTACCAGCGCAACGTCATCCTAAAATAGCATACACCATGAAACACTCCCCTGGATCCCTCTGAAATCTCATCCAAAATCAACGCAAATAGGAATGGGCTTAGCATGCACCATGGGAGGCATATACATACATATATATATATATATATATATATATATATACATATATATATATATATGCAATCAAGTATCCTACATCATTTTTTTAGAAACCCCAAATTCAAGTATTTGTCTATCATGGTATCATGCACCCATATCTCCATGGGGTCATTTAGTTCAATGACCTGAAATGAGTTCTAATTTGGAACATGACTTTTTCAAAAATTTAACTAAATAACCTTCAAATGACATGTCTCTGTTGTTAAACAGTTGTCTCGCAAAATATTGAAAAATACACTATAAGGTTAGGTTGTAAATTGGACTTCCACTGAAGGTCATTTAACAAAATAACCTTATATAGATGCATGTATCCTTGCAACATAGATCCTTATATACCACTAATGGAGCTCACTGGATCCACCCAATCGTTTCTCAGATTAATAATTGAGTACAATTTATTCACTTTCTTAATGCATCCAACACAGTAAGCAGATACACTTTTTTTCCTATTAGCCAGCTTAACTAACTTTAATCAAGAGTATTTTGAAATTTCCCTGCCATACATGGTTTCATTTTCAGGTAGCATGATTCACATATAGGCACGCAACCTTTACAAAATGATATTCCATCCTAAACGCATACATAAAATTTCCACTTAACAAACTCTAAACCGAGTCAAATTGGCTTTAATAGAACGAGTCTTGACTATCCACAATTTAACTTATTTTAGCAACCAGATAATCACAGTTCTATCCCAATCCCACAAACAAACATAATCAATCGCTATTTCTTCAAATGCAAAGAAAATAATAACCGAACAAAATACTAAAATCAATAAATGGAGCTACAGAAGCCAAGGAAGAGCGTTACGATACGGTCCTGGAAGATTTTAGCGCCCTCGGCAACCGCTTGACCGGCATGTTGGACCACAGTATCGGCGTAATTCTTGACGGTGCGAGTAAGGTTGTTCTTGTTCCCGACCTCCACGGCCTTGTTGACGGCAGATCTTAACCACGACATTGGTAACGGTGGCGATTCGTGCACCTGCAACAGACCGTGTGAGCAAAAGCTGATATTCGAAAATCGAACTGGTAGTGTGTCAATTCCTAGGGTGTGAAGGGTTTTTGTCTTGGATGTTTTTGGGCAAGTGAGATCAACGACTATGAAACGCAACTCTGCCGTCGGTGAAGTTATAAGCTGTGGGCAATGAGATAACTTATTATTTAGTATTTTGGTCCCTATAGAATAACATAATTTCACTTTCCCACCTTAAATTTGAGTTAAATCTATTTTAATCCTTTGCATTTGACAATTTATATCAAAACAACGTTTATAATAGAAAAGGGCATCTCAATATAGCACTATTTTTGACAAAAACTATTTAAATTCATCCCGGTTGGATTTATTAAACTCTGATGTTTATTTGACGTTTAAAACGACTTTTTTATTAGATGACATGACACAATTGTTTCGTGCATACATATGCGATAACAAGGGACGTAGTTTTTATCAAACAGGTCGTATTAAAATTATAGGTTGCCATTCAAATTTTTTTGGTTATCTTTTTATTTTATTATAACAACATAAAAGAAAGAAACACCACTTGGGTTGTGCAAAAAGATCATTTCTATGCCATTTTCAATGGAACCTTACTTTTTATAACTAATTTTTATTGTATTTTATAGGAAAAATTACATCAAAATGGAACCAACTTTCACCTGATTCTTATTTTGGGGAACCAACTTTCAAAATCATCATTTTGGGGAACCAACTTTCACCTGATTCCTATTTTGAGAAACCAACTTTCAAAATCGTCATTTTGGGAAACCAACTTGCACCTGATTCATATTTTGGGGAACCAACTTGCAAAATAATTATAGAAAAATTGAAAAATTACACCAAAATGGAACCAACTTTCACCTGATTTATATTTTGGGGAACCAACTTTTAAAATCGTCATTTAGGGGTCTCTATCAAACTTTTTGTTTATTTAAGAGTCTAGTTGATCTATTGAACAAGTAACAGGTAATTTAAGGGTCTCTATCAAACTTTTGGTTGGATTTGTCAAATTTGATTTAAACTTTAATATTGACATAGATTAATTAGATATAAAAATCTTGAATGTGATATTTAATATTTATTTTTTATTGTATTAGTAAAAAAACAATTTTTATCATGGTAATTTGGATTTTTTTCGAAAAAAATCTTCAATTTGATATCTGAATTTAAAAAAAAACAAGATTTTAAATGAAAAATAGATTTATTGCATTAATTTTTGGGAAAAAAACGAATTTTAGTTATTTTTCTATAATTATTTTGCAAGTTGGTTCCTCAAAATAGAAATCAGGTGCAAGTTGGTTCCCCAAAATGACGATTTTGAAAGTTGGTTCCCCAAAATAAGAATCGTTTGCAAGTTGGTTCCCCAAAATGACGATTTTGAAAGTTGGTTCCCCAAAATGACGATCAGGTTAAATTTGGTTCCCCAAAATAGGAATCAGGTGAAAGTTGATTCCCCAAAATGACGATTTTGAAAGTTGGTTCCCCAAAATAAGAATCAGGTGAAAGTTGGTTTCATTTTGATGCAATTTTCCCTATTTTATATTATGTTAATTATTTTGTGTCCTTGAAATTCCCTTTCGAGTTCTCAAAAATGATAAGTATTCAAAGTTCTTGACTTGCCCATGTTTGGGCAAACGGATTTTTGAATCCCATGTTTGGTTTCTACCGGCAAATTGATCTTCTTTTAAATTCAAAAGAAAAGACATATGTCGTTTGGTGACACTTATGGGGCGTTAGGTTCGCATAATGAAATTTGGTGTAATTGGAATTCATCAAAGAAATTTGACTTTGAATTAATTAAAATAGAATTTGGCTACGCATTTGATTAGTAGGAATTGGAATATCCATCTTTGTTTGAGGGAAGTGGGGTAGCAATTGTTATGATGACAATAATGGTCTGGTGTTTGGTGGTAGTTGGGGGATAGAGCTATCACCCCGCCCTTGCCCACCTCACTCACGCCATCGTCCCACCACCACTCATCACCAATACCACCGTTAGGCCACTATTGTCTCCATCCCCTACACACTTACCTCACTGCGCCCCAACCTCAGCAATTACCATGCCATTATTTCTTATCATCATAATTACCACCCCTTCCCCCCTCCCCCTAACACATACCTACCTGCTACCTCCAAACCTCACCCCCGCCCTCGTAACCTGCCGCACCAACCACCACCACTGACAACCACCCCCTTATGCACCACCACCCATGGTGTAGGTGTGTTGAGGGTGGGGGTTAGGGTGATGGTTATGATGACGAAAATAGTAGCATGGTGGTTGGTTGAGTGGGGTGGGTGTTCGAGGGCAAGGTGGTAGTTGTGAGTTGTGACGATGACAATAGTAGCATGATGGTCGATTGGGTGGGGTAGGGAGGTTTGGGGTGGGTGATGGTAGTTGTGGTGACGACAAAAGTGACATGGTGGTTGGGTGGGGTGGCGATGGAGCTAGGTGGGTTGGGTAGCGGGGTGGCAACTGTGATGACAATAGTAATGGCTATGGTGGTAGAGTGGCGAGGTGGAGGCACGAGGTCGGGTGGTTGTGGGTGGGTGATGGGGTAGTGGTATGGTGGTGGGAGTTAGGGTGTGAGGCGTGACCGTGACAGGAGTAACATGTTCGTGGTTGGGGCAGTAGGTGTGGTTAAATTGGATGCAAATAGATGAAATTCAAATCTTTCACTTATGCCTAGGATTGAGGAATTCATTAATTTGTAGAATTCAATGAAATTCAAACGATTCATTCATTTTATTATGTGAACCAAACATAGGATTTGTAATTTGGTTAAAGGAATTATCCATTCCATATCCTTTTATTCAAAATCCATGAATCAAATACTCTCTTACTAGACGTTTGGTTGGCATAATGGAATTTGATGGATTCAGAGGTATTTAATAGAATTTTACCACACATTATTTGACATGAATTGAAATGAAATCCCTCAAAATAATTAGAATATGTATCTTTGGTTGTTAGAATGAAACTTCTGAATTGGAATGAAATTCCGTCATGAAATCTGGTTAAATGAATTTGTCATTCCAATTCCATCAAATTCATTCGGATTTCATAAACCCAACGACCCTCTAAATTTTATGTTCCATGATCATGTGTTCATGTAGTTAGTAAATAGGAACTGTGACTCTTGTTTGGCAACACAATAAATATGTTTATCAAAAAAAAATTATTTTCTAGAAATAGGTTGCAATATAAAAACAAATTTAGAAATTGTCATTTACCATGTTTAAACGCTTAGCCTCATTACAGTCAAATATTAAAATAAACATTTTCTATAAATGATGAAAACGTTGATATTAAGTTATCAATTTATAATAACTGATTTTGTAAATACATCAACGTTTATTGGATACTGCTTTATCCGAAATTCACTTTATACTATAAAAGATACCCACAAATGAGACCATAATTTCCGAAAGCAAGTTGAACAAAAATTGAGAATATATAAAAAGAACCATTGTACTCGACACCTTTTGTACATAATCACTCATCCTTGCAAGCTCTTTTATGGTTTCCTATCACTTTCCAAACGACTATGATATGTATGCTCAAAAAGTCTAGCAAGAGGTTTGATGAACCAGTAATTCGTAAATTTTATCGTGCTGGGAAAAAATGGACTGTCTATTACATGTTTGATCATAGTAATTTGTTCTATAAATATATGAAAGTCACTCGAGGTTTATAACCTTTATGTTTTTCCCTTCGATCAATCATGTTATAGACTTTATTTTGCCGCCCTGTTTCAAGTCTTGCTTCCTTTATACTACAAAACTAGCTAAAAAATGAATATGTTAACATCTGGTGAAGGATAAAATGCCACTAAGAAAGATACCATATATCCATTTCAGCCATGGGAATCAAGAGATCAAAATAATATCAACTTGTATTATTGATTTTTCATACACCATTAACGAGATCATGTGAGAATAGTAAACGCGGTATTGCACAAAAGAAATGATGAATTAATGGGTTTTGATCAAGGTTCTAAATGACGTAAAGCGTGGCGACGAGGTCAGCTCAAGCCTTTGGAGCCACAGCGAGGGCACAACGTTTTTGAATCTTTATATCATAAAAATTATTATACATATAAATATATATATTCTACTAATAATCAATGAGTCAATGATATTAAATAATTTAAACTATGTTATGCATAAGACGTTAAGAAAGTAAGAAAAATATGAATATTGTGTTATAAAAACCACGCATTAGGTCATGGTGTGCTACAAACTTGACGTGGCATGATACACAAGTCTTAAGCCACGACTCACCACGATGGCTGATGCAATGAGCTTTTTTGAACACTGGTTTTGATCGAGTAGTGGGTAAAGTTGAGGAGTTGAGGTAATGAGAGAAAATTTGTTGTTCCCAAATCTCATGTTTCATACTCACTGGTCACCTGAAGACATATCATGGTAGAATTGTTGAGATTGGATTTTGACCTGTTGCAGCCATTGTTGCTAGGCTCCCGGTACACTCACGGGCGATTGTTGTTTATGGGGTAAAGGTGACATGATAATTCTGAGACGAGAAGGGTCACTTATCATACACATATTTGCCAAAGAACAGGTAACATGTTTCAAAGTGTGGTGCCGAATGATGAAGTTGTACACGTAGGTCTTATAAGATGTTGCTTATAAGTGCATTTTACATGTTTATTGTAGTAAGGAATTTTTTTATGTTGCTTATAATGAATCTATGTAAAATATTATAGTGGAATATTTAGATGTATGATCATATGTTTCTACTTTATTGTATTAGAAACTGATCATTTAACGAATTTCTTCGTGGGATTTTTAAAACCATTTCCTAAACCTATTTTTTTTTCCAGGTTTTGTCACAACTTTCTGAGCTATAAACCACTTTCGATGTTGGAATTCGTCAAAGAAATGTTGTTTGTTCACTTCATAGGGTTTCACTTTGGCAATATGGATGAACATAGTACGACGTGCATTTTTAAATATTGTTTGCATATGTGTTCAGTGTGATGATTTTGTAAGAGGTGGGGTTTGATATATTGAATGTGTTGCATTTTGAAATGTTACAAATAAAATTGAAACATAGGTTGGTTAATTGGTGGTTTGA